TGGAGAAAAAACATGGGTAGCATTCACCTCTGCAAACTTCCCTGAGGTAGAACCTGTTTGCATGTTTTTCCATGCAAGGTTTGCATCAAGGTGCTTCACCTGCAAAGCCAGCTCCCTGCCTGATCTGAGGGCAGCCCAGCCAAGGCCCACATTTCCAGCCACATTTATTTCAGTCTGCTGACGCAAGTGAGAAGCACACACCACCCAGTCCTCACTAGTGCCATTAAAGATCCTCACCTGCATGTACTGGAGAACAAAGCTGTCTGGAGTGCAGGCAGCCCCTCAGAAAGTTATGGTTGCAAAAAGCTATACCACGTCTTGAAATGGGAGGGGTTTGTTAATGAAAAAGCACATGGTAAAGAAAAGTGGGTTAGATTAGAATAGGGTCAGCAAGACTGTCATTAACAATAACCACTCTTCCCTTTTGTGTGCCTTCAATCTCCTGTTTCGCTATGGATATACTTTCATTTATTTATGCAGGACAGTGCTACCTGTGCTTTCTTTACGTGCTGGTACTACAGCCCTCTGGGGGACCACAAACCAGAGATGTCACCCTTGGAGCTCTGAAGGCCATGTTACATTAGGAGAGCTGGAAAAGAAGCTCCAAAAGCTGCCATACACTAATACCAGGCAGCACAGAGGCGTAGCTTAACTGTATTCAACAGCCTGGACTTTGTACTCTGATCTTGGAAAGCTCCATGTGCAAGCATTTATGGTCTGGATCTCCCTTTGATGTTAATTGGCATAGACCCACTCAAATTCACAGAGGCTTTTCTGCCAGCTGTGGGAATGGCTGCTGCCTTTGGAAGGCGTGGGCTTTCACTTTATGCCCCCATACTGCACACTGCCCACTCCATGGCACTGCTGGGCAGCGAGCACACCTCATCCCAAAGGCAATTACATGCTGGGTGTTCCCTCAAAGTGGATTTGGGTGCTGCAGGAGAGGCTCATTGAGCACAGCTTAGGAAAACTGTCTTAGCTGCAAATAGAGGCAGCACACGTACTTACTGGAAGCAGAAGTCTTAAGGAAACGAAGGGAAACATGACGAGCAAGCAGGGAGCCCCGTGCCTTTGGGAATAGGAGAGCACAAAAGCAGCAGCAGGCCCATACTGGTGGTACACAAGAGGAGACCCCACACAGATTGACACAGCAGCCTGCCTCCAGAGCTGCTGAACTTCTGTACAGCTGGCAAAAAGAAAATCGGCTGGGCAGACAGCTGTGCAGGCACCAGAGGTCAACTTATTCTGCAAGTCCTGCACACTGTGCTAGAAACAGAGTAAATACCTACATTTTCTCCTCCTGTACATTTGGAGTGTGGTCAGACTTCTAAAACAAAGGATTTGTTTTATCACTCATCACGAACTTTAGCTTCAGTATTTAAATGCTGTAACAGAGAGAGCATTTTCTAAGCCTCTTTCTACACATATTTGAGGTGGTTTTGGCTCTAATTAATTTGGAACAGGGCAGGGAGTTCAGCAATTTTCCTCTCCTCTCTCACATCCCTGTGTCCCACTTTACTTTTAAAGTGGTAGGGCCCATCTAAATTAAGGTACTAGGAGACGAAGAAAGAAAAATACCTAACTGAATTACAGACCGCTGACAGAGCATTTCATCATCACAATCGCGTGCTCAACACTTTTCGCAATTCATAGCGTGAGTGGCCATGCAAATCTGCGGTCACTGCAACAGCTGAAGGGGAAAAACCTCACACACACAAACACACAGACAAAAAGCAGAATTCTGTTCACCCGCTGAATCTGCTCACTGAGGAGTTTCCACAGCATGCTCGTGCTTTGCCTGGCCGCAGCACATTCTTATTCTCTTTAGCACATTTATTCTCAGGACAGCTTTGTGAAGTAGGGCGTTACTTCTGGGAAAGTTACATTACTTACTTGCTACTCTTACTATCAGGAAAGCCCAGGAGCATGCAGGAACCCTGTAACAGCTCAAGGAACTGAAACACATCTTTGTAGTTAAAGCTAACACCATTAAAACTGCATCGTGCTTCTCATAATGCAAGATCAAAAGCTGCCTCTCTCTTCCCCATCCCTTCCAGCACATGGATGTGCAGCTGCATCTGTGTATCCCCAAAGAGGGGGCTGTGTAGCCTTAGCCTTTTAGCAGCAGTCTCCTGTTTATGCATATTTTATGGGCCCAACATTTCCATGTTTTTTACATATATAAATGTGTGTGTGACCTCAATGTTTAAACAGAACTTCCTGATTTGGGGGGACAGCTATTTTACATGCAACCCTTCATACCTACTTTAAGCACCAGTGGCAGCACGACAGTGTCACTTCCATAGTTTCAACTTTTCAAGCACGGCATGATTATAAAAAGCACGTATAGAAAAAAAAAAAAAAAAAAAAAAAAAAAAACCAACAACAAAACAAACAGAGGAACTCAGACTATTTTTTTTCTACCTCAATCTAAGCAGTCCCTGATTGAGGGTACTGTTCTGTCACCTCCATAAACACAGAAATCCATGGGCAATTCTAAGCAAAGAACTGCAACAGGCACCAGAAAGCATGCATCAGTCCTAAAGCTGAAAAATACAGTCTGCAGAGAAAACTATTTCCCCACATGTTGTTCACACCCATGAGAAGATGCCCTCTCCTGAAGCAGGCAGGTCAGGGGGCACCACATCCTTGCTGAAAAGGGGAAGGGAGAGGGCAGAGCATGAAGGAGAGACAAGATCGATGGATGGTGTTTCAGTAAGCCCTTGTGTGAAAGATGCAGAAGGGGTAGGAAAGGCTCAGTGCTCAGCTCCTGGTGCCTTCACACAATCCTGCTCCAGGTGCAGGCCATGATGAGCAAGGATGGTGCCAGCTGTGTCAAAGCTGGACTTTTTGTGCCACGGAGTAGCTGCACAGCTATCTGTAATTAACACCTTCTGTGCGTGCTGTCCTGCGATATATCATGACAAACACCCAGATTACCCATTAATACAGCAAACAAGACTAAGCGATACACGCATTAAAAAAAAAAAATCATGTTACTCAGAACTCACTTTGATCCAAATGAAGCAACTTTGCAAGTCTAATACTGCAGCTTTTGGCCTTGAGTATTATTGACAGGAAAACTAAATTCAAACAGAACTGCCTGAGTTTTTATTTCTACACACAAACACCCTTAAATCAGTTTGACCCTGCAGCATAGAGTCGGTGCCCTCTGGTCGGCAGTCCCGTTACCATCTGTAACGAAAGTAACATCTTAAAATGTAAACAATTTATGTTGGAACAGCAAATACAGTCTGAAAGGAAGAAGGTAATTGTGGAAAGTGAGATCAGAAAAGCTAAAATCAACATGGGCCTCTCCAACATGGGCTTTCATGGAATTATGAGCATTAATTACCCTGTCTGCCTCACCTGCCACCAGAGCGCACCTCATGAGGCAGGAGGACCATGGGGAAGCCCAGTACTGAGCAAGAAGGGAGGTCTCCAAGGTAGAGAGTGCTGCTCTGGGGCCCTACAAATTTATTTTCCAGATCAGTTCCAGATTTTTGCCCCACCCTTGGCAAAACTCCTAACTGCACCAGGGAGGAAATCTGTATAAATAAATTAACAATTTTAATAAACAGCTGTTCCAGCATAAATACCCTGTCACATCCCATTTTCTGCTTGTAGAAACAAACTTCACCCATGCTTCCTCTGCTGCACTTGGGCTAATTCATCATGCATTATTCATGCTACTCTGTATTGGCATTTAATTATTCACAACTCCCTCTACCCTCACCCCCTTTCTCCCTTCACATGCGTGAGGATCAGCCGGCGCCATTCACCAGCAAAAACCCTCGCACCAACAAAGGCGAGGCTGGGCACGATAAACTTCAACCAAAAAACCCCAAACCCCGTATCTCACTCACGGACCGGCTGGGTTCACACCTCGGGGCGCCCTGAAGGGACTCGGGAGCCATCTCAGCGTCCCCTGCCCTGCCCCTCGCCACCTCATGCCCACTGAAGGGACGCGCAACATAAAATGGCCGCTGGGCGCCATGAGGGCCAGCTGTCCCCTTGTGTTTTTCGTTAAAAGCTGCAGCATTCTCCTCCTTTTAGTAACACTGTCCCCTCGGGACCGGTCGATGGCTGCAGGATAGCGCCCAGCGGTGGAGAATGCGGGGCGGATCGCAGCGATGGGCGCCTGCAAGCGAGGTGCGAGGCCATGACGGCGGACTGCAGCCCTGAGGCGAGGTGAGGCGCGCGCGAAGCGCGGGAAGTACCTCAGCGGTCCCGCCTCAGGGGGCGGCCGAGGCTGACGGGGAGGGGGGGGGTGGCGGGGGGCGAAGGGGAGGGGTATGGGGTACAGGCTGAGGAAAGTGAAGGAAAGTGAGGAAAAAAATCGAGAAAAGTGCGAGAAACGGCTCTACAGGCGCTTGTCCTTTTATCTTTCCTTAGGTTTATGGTGTTTCTCCGTTGTTTATTTGTCATCTTTTAATCTGTTTTATGTGGGGAAGATCTGTGTGTGTTACTCCCTCCAGCACGTGCTCTCAAATTGCTCCACATCCCTGTACCTCAAGGTGAGCACCCTCAGGGCAGCAAATACACCTACATTTGCCCCAGTAGCACCTCTGCTTTGTTTAATCCACTGTTTCAGGGTACTCCTGGGTATAATCGTGTACAGTGCTGTTGTGAGACAGTATTTTAAGAGCCATTCTCATCTGCTAGTGCCACAGGGGTCTTGTTTTGGTGCAACTGCCACTAAGATGAAAACTAGAGGCTTTTTGCCCTTGTGTATGCACTCAGGAGAAAGCTTTAAAAAAGCACTAGCCCCTATGTTATTGCAGGCTGATAAGAGGGGGCTCAGTGCCAGAGTAGGGGTCTTTCTGTATCTCCTCCCTGGGTACAGGGCTGTATTCAGCAAAGTCCTCAAGCATGTATGCTTAAATACTAAATGGCCTTCTGCCTTCAGAAAGGTTATTCACACATGCTTTAATTCACCTTTGTGCTTAACAGTATTGTGTGTAAGGACCACGAAGCTTTCCTTAGAAGAAAACCTTTGATATTAGTCTGCTCCCGAGTCAGTTTCCCAGATTTCAAGACCATAGACACAAATGAACCCAAGAACAGTAAGATTATTACTGGCTTCTGTGGTTGAAGCATGAGGTACCACTGCGTGCGTTTCATTCCAGCTCCCATTTCTGAACAGCCAAAACAGGCTGTGGTGGTGGTGGTTCTTTTTAAGAGCATTCTCCTTCTTTTAGTAACACTGACGTACTGTTGCATACAAGAGGTATAAATCTGCTGGCTGTTTCCTCACCTCTGCTGTATGGCAATTTCACTCAGCACAGAATGCCTCAGTCAGCATCACCAGCAAATGCATCATGTATGATGTGCTTTTTTTACTTCTAAGGCTTCCCCTCCAGCTCAAATAACATCATGCAGCTGATTTCTCGAATTCCTACATGCAAAAATCGATCTGTTTGTTCTGAAGCCACAGAGTTTTCATCTGCTGCCAGAGGGGGGATCCATCTGGGTGCCATGACTTCCTTCCTTTGAAACGAGCCCTCCCTGTGCCCGCTAGCAGGCAGCAGTCCCACAGCCGCATTCAGGGGCTGTGCCTGCTTTTGCTTTACTGGCAGAGCAGGGAGGATTGGAGATGGAAGGCATAGAGGCCGGGGCCAGTTTTTCATCCCTGGAGTGAGGCTGGCAGGTACAAGGGCCGTTCCTGACAGAAGGGCAGGTGCCTCTTTGCAGGGCTTAGCCCATTTTAAGCACCCGGCTGCTGCAGAAAGGCATAGACCTCCTGTGTATTGTACATGCCTGCCATACACGGCCTCTGTTGCACGTTCAAGGTGGTGCTTGGCACTGCTTGGGCGATGGAATACCACCCTGCATCTGCTGCTTGCCTCACCAGAGAAGCAGACAAGCCCCGGATACTCACAGAACCTCCTTTTGATTACAAGTCAGCTTACAGAAGAGGGATTTGCACAGGTATAGTAAGACTTTAATCACTTAATCAGAGTTTTCTGTGTTTGCTTCCTGCCTTTGCTGTGGAGTACCCTAGGAGAAGGTGGTATTTCAGTTAACTATATAAATTCCTTTCGGTTTTCCTGTCTGTTACAGCCCTGTTGTATCTCCTGATTTCTTCTGCTGTGGCTGTGGGAGGTCCTGGGCTGCTTCTGGGGACCAGCCTTTGCCAGGGAGGCAGAGCCCTGCCAGCTCCTTGGGAAGGCTAGCAGGCATCACAGTGAGATCCAGCTCTACCAACTTTGACTTCTTGACCAGGCCCCTCAGTCACATTTATATAACAAGAACCAGATCAAAAAGCCAGGCAAGACACGGATGACTGATTTACCCCAAATCTCTTCCTCCCACTGGCAGATTTTAGCACAGGTCCTCCCAGCCTGGCCACCCTCACGCCTGCTGCCCGTGACCTCACACAGCTCTCACCCCCACTTTTCACCCCATTTTTCAGCCTCATCATTGAGGTTGAAATTAGTTGTTTGATGTACTGTAATTAGTACAACTGTAATTAGTTGATTGATTTCCCCCATATGTGAATACTGAGCCATCCTGAAGACTATTACTTCAAAGAACTTTTGTCAGATTTGTCACCAATAATTAAATTGTCTCCACCCAAGCAGACTGTGCTTTTGATCAAGAATATGCAGTTTCCTCCTGACTGGGGGCCAAGGAAAGGCATGATTTGATCACAGTGCTGGCAGATGTCTTAGAGAGCAAAGGAAGCTCACTTTGTTATTCTTAGCAGCTCCTGCCTTTCAATCATGGGAAATTATCATTTGACTATTAGTGTGGAAGAGTTTTCCTTGCACGCCAGCAAAGTTAAAAGGCTACAGTCAGCTTTGAGTATGATGCCTTCCCTGTGGAGGTTGATGAGAGACTCGTACTCATCTCACCTTCCTGTTTACCTGCTCATTTTTGGTACAATCCCAAATTATTAAGATGATATACTAGTTGCAGTAGAATTATTTAACTGTGTTAAATAGTTTTTTAATTTCCATTTTCTGTGGTGTGATGCAAGAACAGGAGGCACTACAGCCTCCCTTCTGCAAACATTTGCACTGCACACCTGCAGTAAAACATGCAGGTTTTTTCCACTACAGTCCCTCAGCACCAGCACAGCAGAAGCAGACTTTGCTTCCCCCAGCCCATTGGGAAGTGATTCAGCACTGCAATGTGGCTGCTGGCAAAGGTATCAGTTCATTTCGCTAGTCTTCTTCGTAGTATTTTAATGGTGATTGTTTGTGGTGGTGTTTTTTTTGACTTTTTTTTGTCCACAATGCAGAAATTCATTGCTCAGACTTTGAATCACCTACAAACCTATCCGATTTTATTTTCTTTCTACCTGTTTTGCTGAAAGAAACTACTTGTGAATATTTTTAAATTAAAAAAAAAAATTAACTCTATTCTAAAAAAAAATAATAAAAAAATCTAAAAGAAGTCCAGAAAATGGTAGACAATTGCAAATTCTGTTTGCTATCTCATGATGCACTCAGCTAGTAGTTTGATTCATCCAATCACGCTGTGGAATGTGAGGTCTCACCAGGATGGGTCCTTCCTTCCTCAGTGGCTGTGTTCCCCCGCCCAGAAAGCAGCCAGCTCAACTCCCAAATAGGCACTCTGCATTTTCTGAAATAAACTGAATAGCCAAGACCTTGGAAATTTAAGTGTCTGCTAAGTGAAAGAACAGTTCAATAAAAAATTGCAATAGCGTGTTTTCTCTGAGTGCTGGGAGAGCAGCCTTTGCAGACCAGGGTGCTCGTTGTGTCTTCACATAGATTCTGGCTCTACCTAGTAAAAACACTTACAACTTTGTGCAATACATTGTGACCGTAGTCATGTTTTATCTGTAATGAATTGCCTGTATTGTACAGAATAATACCTCTCTACATCATACCTCTCCTAACATCAGTTAAAGCCAGCAACTTTCAAAGAGCCTTAAGGCTTTGGTTTAGAAAAAACACTATGTCTTCCTCAAACTAACTTGTAAAATTTCATCCTGTACAGCTATGCACTCCTACAACACAGTAGAATAACTTGGCTAGATGGGAGGGGGGGAGGGGGGGGGAACAAAAAAAGAAAACACCACAACACCAAAAAACCCAACCGTCTGATTTCTCTCTCCGAAATAGAAGGTTGAGGACCTAAATACATGTGAGAGATAGCTCAGTGCTGTGCTCTTCAGGAAAAAGCATATATTTTCTACAGCTGCGTAGAATAACATTCCAATATAAATCTACATAAGAGAAAGCTGTCTTATAATGTGCTGACCTATTTCAATACCAAAATCTGCATAAAGGGGAGCTACCGGCATTACTACAATTTGTGTCCAGTTCTAGATAGCAACTCGGGTCACCATCTGCAGAAAGCTTAAATGCATGCTACTGACTGACATCTGTGTATTTTTAGCTTCTCTGGTCTATGACCCAGCATGTTCTAGCTTCACATTTAATTTTGTTTATTAAAAAAAAAAAAAAAAAGCTTGCCCATTTTGTCCAGGCCACGTTCAAACTGTTTGCTCTGGGCGTGCCTCTTCCTTCTCTGTGTGACTTGCAAGAGGAGGGGAGCGGGGCTAACATCACGTTCCACATGTGACTGGAATCGGTGCTTTCTTTGGATTTTTGAGGATTTCAGTCCCTTGGCTACAAAATGTTTTAAAGAAACTAAAATGGCATATAATCTTAAATCCTACTTGAAACAATCAACATTAATCTTTACTTGAAATTGTTTTAAAAACATCCAAATGGTGAAAAAATAAAATGGAAAGAAATTCCCAAGAAAGCTTTTTTACAGGCACTGTGGAACTGTTCAAAGCTTTGTTTGATGGCTTTTTTTTTTTTAAAGGCAATACTTTCTAAAAATCTAAAAAGCTCATTTTCAAAATACCAAGCTGCAGCATCAGTGGCAATGCTGGCACTGAGCTTGACAAATGAAAATATTCACTACAACTAACACTGTGAAACCTATTTTGCATCCCAGTCATGTTTTAGGAGATCAGAATGTAGAAGAAGAACAATTCAATAGCTTTAGGCTTGGCTTATTATTAAATTACGATGATTTTAAAGGCTTCACTAATCCTTATTGTTCAGAAATTTTTCTCGGTATTTTGGTAAGTGGCCTACGAGTGACCTCCAGCTCTCAGCTTTTCTCCTGCACATGCCTAGCTGGGCTGTCACCATCCATGCTAGGAGCATCACTTGGGCCAGGACTAGCACCCGAGAACTGTTTGGCCGTAGTAGACCCTGCCCAGAGCAGAAATTCCCTGGGCCTGATGCTGAATTACGAGCACAGGACGTTGGGATGTGAAATGTTATTTGTTGTTCTGATTTATTCCTCACTGAAAGGTGTACGGGTTTGTAAGCAGCTGGGTAGATTTAGATGTGTATTTCAGTAGATTTAGCACATTTGCTGAAGTTCCCTTATATGTCTATCTCCATTATAGCTGTGCTTGTAAAAAAATAATAAAAAGAATCTGCCACTAGAGCTTTGCCTTGACATCTCATTGTGTTTCAGGTTGGAGACAGAAGAAGCCAAAGTAACCCAGCAGATGTTGCCAGATGCTTTAAAAGGTGCATTTAAAGCCTCCCCAAGGAGCTATGTAAAAGGCATGGGAGAATCATGGTTAGTGTTACACACGTGCACCTAAACAGATCCATTAACTGAAATAGCCTTTTAACTGTTACACTTATTGAGCAGTACAAGCAAGCGCATCATTGTTTCCTGTTTTTATTGATGTATCTGCACTGTGTTCAGCTATCTTATAAATCCATTATTGCTGGGAACAGCTGCAGAGCAGACTCATAAGGAAGGGAAATGAGCACAGCTGATAAACCAGCTCCAGACTGGTCCCACCAGAGCCATTACACCTTGGACTAGGTACACGATCAGAAAATGTCTAGGCATTGCCAAGAGTGTAAAAGTGACTTCTCAAGGAAGCAAAGGCTTGTTTGACATAGTCATCAGCTACTTTGCATTGTCAGGCTAGTGCTGAACTTACAGTTTCTGAAACACGTCATCTAACCAGGTGTACATCTATAGACATGCATGCTGCATCTGGCTGAACGTGAGCCAGGGCTGGTGGGGACGGGCTTTGCACCTACAGCACAGGGAGAAGGAAAGGGAAACAGCCCATGAGGTGGAGGGAGGTTATCGGCTTCTGGGAAGCGAGAGGGAAAGTGAGCGGCTTGGCAGGAGCAGCTTTCCCTGGGAAGAACGATGGTATCATGTGCCACCTGCAGGCTGAAAACAGAAATGAACAGGATACATTTGTGCAGTTCCAACCATCGCTTTTTAGGTGGACACATGCCTTAATCAGAGCAGATGTTAGATCAGCCTTTACCACAGAGCCTGTTTTCCTTCTGTAATGCATTCCCAGCATTGGACATACCACATGAAACAACTGTCAATGAAAAACAAGTCCAGAAATCTTTCATACCTTTTCTTAAAATTTCAGCACACATCTTCTTGCCCATCCTGCTCTACATCAAAACAGGGACAGAAGCATAGCAGTGTGTGAGAGCACTGCCTCTCTAGCACATGGCAACATGCTTGCAGTCTTCTTGCAAGCACTACTAAAACATTAGGGGTGTCCACAAAACACTAGAATTATGTCCAGAACATCACTCCAGAGAATCTGGCTCTTCCCCCGTCACTTGGAAAGCTGAAGGTAGGATGCGAGTTAAAGGAACTCACTTTGATCAAATTAGACTACCATTTCTTCATGAGGGAGACTCAGTTGTTAGCTTTGCTTCTGGCTGTTGGGGGATGTTATCTACTAGCTTAAAAAGAAAGAAAACTGGGAAAAGGTATTTGGATGAATAAATGCAGTGAAGTAAGCAACAGGGACACAAAAAAAAACCAAAACCAAAACCAAACCAAACCAAACCAAAACAAAACAAAAAACAAAAAAACAAAAAAAAAAAACAGGCAGGCTGACAGGGGCTCCCAGCTTCTTCCACTTGTGAGATGTACAAACAGCCCCTTCGCTTCTGCCAGCAAAGCAGGCAGGAAGCAGCTCCTCCTGGTGCCTTCCAGGCAGGTTTTGCACTTCATTTACCTCCGCCTGCACAGGCAGGAGGCTGGCGCGGCAGTTTTTTTCCCCAAGATGAAAGGAGGGAGAACGGAACAAAGCACAATACTGAGGTGACAACGTTTGGAACCAACTCCACAAACAGTTCTGCAAATTGCTGAAAACAAAACCATTCAAAGTCAGAGGTTTCAACAACAGGAGGTTTCTTTGGTTGTGTGAGGACTGAAAAGGACTCCCTAAGCAGTGCCACAGTAATTGAAAAAGAAAAAAACTAACTTCTCTGGTGGGTATGAGAAGTGGGACAATGCTGTACCTACCTCAGAAGTGAGTAAACTGTTGCTCTTTCTTTGCTCCTCATTTTGCCCCTGAACAAAAACAACTGTATTTATTTTTTTTTCCTCTCCCCCAGATCACCCAGAAGCTTTTAAGGCCTAGTAGCTTTCCCAACACTAAGAAGATTTTTCTTTTTGCTTGAGAAAAGCACAGTGTGCAAAATTCTCCAGTGTTTTTTTCCCTTCCAAGACTCCATTTTTTACTCTCATTCTGCAAGAACATTCACATCTGTTCATCTCCAAACTCCATTTGCTGCCTGGTAACACCCAGCCAGGAAGGGCATGAAAGAGCAGCAGCATTTCTGACTGCATCCCATTTATCAAATAAAGAACAGGACAAAAACATTACATTCTTCTCTCTGACCTCCAGTTCTTTAGTCTCAAAGGCAGTAAATCTAATAAATGACAATAAATGACAAGACCAGGTACAAAATTTGATTTCCAGATACACTGGCTCAACTCTACCCACCTGAACAGGCTACTAACAAGCTGGTAAGACTGAATAAACCCCTGCCTGCAAGAAATGTCTGTAAAATCAAGCTGAAAAAAGATGGGTTTTCATTGTAGTCAGCAGACACAGAAGTGATTTCAAGAACTGTAGCAGCAAACATTATATGTTAGAGGTATATTGCTTAGTTACTTCAAGCTGCAGTTGTACAGTGAGGATGCACTTATGCTATCCTGCCTTGGGTTAGCATGCAAGAGACATTTTCTGCCAGGTGAAACTTCTGTCATCCAGTCAGGCATAGCTATGTAATAAATGTGAACAGTTTGTTAAAACAGATGCATCATACTATTATACAGTCATCTACCAGAAATATTTATCAAGTGACAGGAGCTTCTATGGTAATTCACCACCTTTTAAAACCTGTACATGGCTGAAACAATAACAGTGGTATTTTGGAAGCCGTGAGAATGTGTAACTCTAGGCAGCTTTTCACATGCCCCATGGTCTCTAAGGGCAGCCAGAACAGTTTGAAGTATTTGAATTTCAGTAAATCAAACAACAAGCCTATGTGATATATGGTAAAAAGTGAGGATCTTGCTCCCTAAAAGCCTCCCTGAAACTTACTGCACATGGCAATGGTAATCAGCTGCAGTGGAAGAATACAAGACAATCACTTCGCTCTTATCTCACCACTCAGTCATTTCAGAAATTGCAGTAGGGTTACCGTGGAGGATCACAAGATTTTGCAGTAAATGTCAGCACCCTGAGATGAACTGGAGAGTTGCTGAGTGCCAGAATCATTCTCTGGGCATGTGATTTTCCTGGGGAGTGATTTGGATAATGTTCACCAGGTATGGAGACTGAGAATTTTAATATAAATTGACTGAATTGAGGTATTTTGTATGCATCTACAGCCAGATAATCTGTAATCAAGAAATCTGTTATCACAAAGATATTTTCTTTTTAAGTATCCTTTTTTATGCTTTCTCTTGTGACAACAGAACATCCCATTCAAGGGATGAAAAAATACTCACTCTTGTTTTTCTAGAAGTATTCAAGTCCTACAAACACCGATCCTCAGCCATGGCTATTTCAGTGAGCAGAAAACTTCTGACTGAGCTTGGATTAAGGTATTATTCCTTCAACTGGTGCAAGCTCTTTGTTTAGAGAAATGTCACGTCCTGGTCCTGCTATGCAAGTCTCAATGTCAGAATAACAACCTTTAGGGAGCCGTGACTGTAACACAAATCATCTCATAATCCACCTGAAAGGGTTGGAACCCACTTTTCTTGCACATTTTAAAGCCTTTCTAAATGAAACAGGTGTTTTGGCAAATTAATTTTAATTAAAAAGAAACTGAAAACAAAACTCTAAGAAAGGAAACGACAAAGTGCTCTAGGATGATGCTTTTTAATTGTTACTTTTATATTTTTAAAAACAAATCAATTAAAAACATTATAGACGTGCTGAAATTTCCTGTACAACAAATAAGAAAACAATAAAATTTGTACATCATATCAAGATATTTAACTAACAGTCACTTATTTGAAACGCATCAACTTTTCCCTTCTTAAGCAGGCCCCAAATGGGAAGAAGTATACAACAGAAATGCAGGAGATGTCATTGCCACACAGTAGAGCTTTGAGCCTGGAAAGTAAATCAGTTTAGATGAGCAACAGCAAGAGAAAACACTGAATGAGGAGAGAGATCTCAGCAACTATAACACGGTGAACATCAGAATGCAGGGAAAAAAATATTTGCCAGGATTCAAGTCACATTGGCCAAAAAGGATCCACAAGAGACCCCTGGTAGAAAGGTTACCTGTAATCCTGTTCTTCCTGCATAGATATCCTATGAAGCATGGCCTACTTACTCACAGAGACAATAGAGCCAACTTCATTTAAAACATTTTAAGCCTTACCAACCTTTTCATAGAATCATAGAATATCCCAAGTTGGAAGGGACCCATAAGTCCAACTCCTGGCACTGCACGGGTCTGCCCAAAAGTTTACACCACGTGACTCAGTGCACAGTCCAATTGTTTTTTAAATTCAGACAGACTTGGTGCAGTGACTACGTCCGTGGGGAGCCTGTTCCAGTGTGCAACCACCCTCTCGGTGAAGAACCTCTTCCTGATGTCCAGCCTAAACTTCCCCTGCCTCAGTTTAACACCACTCCTGTGGTCCTGTCACTGGTGTTTAAAGAGAATAGGTCACCTGCCTCTCCACTCCCCCTTGCAATGAAGTGTAGACATTGATGACGTCCCCCCTCAGCCTCCTCTTCTCCAGGCTGAACAGGCCCAGTGCCCTCAGCCGCTCCTCATACATCTTCCTCTCTAGGCCCTTCACCTATCCCTGGGATCAACAGGTCATTTAGTTCAAACTTCTGCCTCTTCTCACAATGATTAAGTGTTGGGAAATCACAGAAGTGTTGAAGTAGATACAATGGTATTAAAAATGGATATTCATTAGATGCTGACACAATGGAGACTTTGTGACACTGAGACTTCCAACATCAAAAGAATGGGACAGATACTTTTGTTTTCTGCAAGAAAAGGTGGTTGGACAGAAACACAATGCTATCTGGTTCTGATGTTCAACTGCAATATAAAGCAAACACAATCTAAAGTAGAAGATTCATCTCCCTCTCCTCCGTGCTGTATAAAACAAGGACTTCTGAAGCAACAGAGCATTCATTCACCACCCTAAGGCAGCAAGTTTCCGCAGGACCTGGAATAAGGAATAACTGGTTCTGTGCTCTGCACTTAGAAGACTGAAAGGAAGAAAAAAATAACATGACTGTAAGGGGCAGGCCTTTCTTCCTCCCAGTTCCTTTGGAATGGTTCAGTTTGGTCCCAGTGGTTTACTTCTGTTTGTCATCTGACAGCAGCTTAGGAAGAATGCTGGGTGAGATCAACTATGTGGACTGCCATTTTGGATGGAGTCAGGCAGGATTGCTAACCTCATGAATTAGGTTTGGAGGTTTTTGTTTTGTTTTTGTGTGTATGTGTACTGATTAAAAAAAAAAATCAGAGAAAGAAAAAATATTCAAGAACGCACAAGTGGCTGCTACAAAAAAAAAAAAGAACTGAAGCATTTCGTGGTTTGTCCTCCAGTTTTGCTCACCTAGCACACCACAATTTCACACTGGGTGTGAAAAATTCCTCTGGTTATCTGTAAATTTACAGTTGTACACCAGGAATTCCTACATTTTCTTCTGCTAACAGTGGATTCTGTGAGGTTGACAGGTTCCACTGTAATACCACATATACACCTAATATATGTAGCTATTTTTGACAACTCTGCTAAAAAAAACAAACAAACAAACAAAAAGCAGCAGAACTTCAGGGACTCTGGTTATTAAACCTTCACAAGATTTTCACTTCTTTAGAGCTATTCTATAGCATTATTCATAAACTTCATATTCCTTTGCAATGCAACCAGTGCAATGATCCAAAGACCAAAAAACAACACACCCCCAAACTATTTAAGAAGTCCTTCATCGGTAATGCCTTCATAAGTCTAGCAGTTATGTACCAGCAAAATCCAATCAAATCCTTGCCATGCAAAACCAGCAAACTAGGGGTTTTCTGCTTGTTTGTTCTATTTTTAAAAGGACCAGTTAAAATAACAGCAGCAGTACATTGCAAACAATTACAAAACAATTACATTAGATCAATGAGATGCAGGCAGGTAACATATATCTCAGTTTTAAACGGCTAAATCAACCGAGAAGTTGGTCTTTACAGCAGAACTTTGTGCAATTTGTTTTGGTAGAAACAGTAAAGCCAGTCAATCTGTTTGGGAGTGCTTGGACACCTGGAACCTTAGTTCAACATTTTCACAGATTTATACATTTGAGGAAAAACAACAACAATAAAAAGACACCGACCTGAGTAAAACTCTATTAGAATAGAGTGATCATTATTCAGTAAATCATATATTGCACCTTTAAATAAATCATTATAAATTGTATAAAAACAGGAATATCAGCCAGGAACAGGGAGGGGCTATTCCATCCTTCATACACACCCACACACAACCCCGCGCACACATTCACATACTCACTTGCTCAGTTTTTCACTATAGTTAAAGCTCGGAGTGACACACCACACTCCTTTTCCTCTAGCAGAGGCACTGAAACATTAAGGCAGGGGATATTCATGGTGAAATGCAAAAACAAAGCTCACCTCCAAACTTCTGGAGAGTCCTGCCAACAGTGCAACTACAGTTAGGTTTGACATAAGCCTTATTTAAAAATCTGTGTTCTCATTAAGAGTTTCAGTACAAAAATAGAATCTCTGCTGTTTTTTTTTCTAGAGTAGCAACTAGAAAAGGCACAATTTCCAAGTACAAATGTCCATTTGGAGGAGGTGTTTGTAGTCCTTTTTTAAATAAAAAGGAACACTCAGAAAAAAAAAAAAAAAAAGATCACAGAGGCACATATCTATTAGCTAAGTAACCAGATACAGTAGATAAAATATGTTCCTGAAACTTATAATTAAATATATTAAAACAGCCCACAAGCCTGGTGTCTGTAAATGAAATCATATAAAATTGTAATAAAAAGCTTGTGTTATTATTTTAATATTGAAATTCTAGTTCATTGTTCGTACTGTAAATGCTATTTCACCTATCAGTACTGTTAAATTCCCAAGAAAAAGCAAAAATTCCTCTGTTAACTTTAACTATTTTCTTTTTATAACAATCCTTGGCTCCTGCCAGCACTGTTTTTGTCCTCCTGTAGATCACATCTTCATATAAGGCCAAAACTGGAGAAACCAAATGTAAGACACTGCACACAATCCTGGAAAACATACGTAGAACGTCTCCCTTTCTTATGCGCAGGCAACACCTCTTAGAGACACTGCGTTCCTTCCAGGCTATGCATGGTAGCCGTTAGCCTTCCCAAAGACTGGGGCTGGCTCTGGTGTGAAATTTTCATAGATTGCCATTGCTGTTGTGTTTTGGTAAATAAGATCTGTTTTCTTGTCTTTCTGGGATCTAATAATATCCATGACACACTGGTTTAGGAAGACGTACTGGTCCTGATGGGAGAAAAAGAAGAAAGGATATTAAGAGAGTTCTAGCAAATACCTGATTTTGGAAGTAGTTCTGCTCCTGAATATAAGTTTCAGTTTTTGGAGGTACTGCACTGCATGTTTTCACACACAGTCTATTTATGCATTTTAGAAATTGTATGTATATAGGAAGTTGGACTAGAACAGACTTCATGATGTCTTGTGAACCCTCAGCAAAAAAAAAAAAAAGGATCTAATTTACTATGTTGCCTAACATCCTCTTAAAAGACTTTCATGATGGAGATTTTACAGCCTTTTCCAGATCAGCTTGAGTTAATCCACATGCTTTTTCAGGTGAAAGCAGTACTTCCTGCAGGAACGCCTGTGTTCCTGCAGAATACAAAAGATGCACGCAGAGACCTCTTGACTGGAGGTAATTCTGACTTGTGGCTATAAAGATAAAACTCACATGGGTTGAACAAGCTTAAAAGTAAATTTTCAGGATTTAATTCTTTCTACCTGCAAACGCTAGTCCAACAAATTACCCTCAAAAAGAGATTGCTTGGATATACTAAATAAACCTTAGCTGCAAATACTTTTATAGTAAGAAATAGGGCAGGAAGCAGGGAAGTTTAAATGAGGGCGATTTTTAGATTCCTCTGTAAAGTCTTATCTTCCTGTAATTCTGAGCTACAGTCTATAGTCTACCTTTCCTGGATTATTGTGCATGTTTGAGAAACATGCTGCTGAATGAAAATCTAAATCTTACCTCAGTTTGCACCATTAACGGTCGATGCATTCGAAGATCATACACCACTCCATACACATCCACCGTATTCTCCATTTCAATCTGCTGAATCAGGCGGTCAATGGCAATGAATGTCCCTGTCCTCCCGACACCAGCACTGCAATGACACAGGGAAGACATTTACTGCTTTCTCTCAACCACCTGCTCACCTGTAGCCTAATAAAAAGCCAGTGAAGTTAGCAATATGCTTTCTATTATTTCAGTGGCACAGGTATCAAAGCCTCTGCAGTCCAGAGACGTGAGTTTTACCATGACCAAGATGGAGGAAGGACACCCTTCTGGGACTCCCAGAATCACACTGAAAAAGAACTGTTCTTAAAAAGTCACAAGATGAAAGCATGTCTAACACAAATTTGTTCTTCATACCTGCAGTGCACTAGAACAGGAGAGTCAATAGGATTTTGACTGCTGTATTCATGAACATGGTGTCTGAAGTTGATGAGCAGGTCTGTTGTCTCTGGCACTCCGTGATCAGGCCAGGAGGTGAAATGGAACTGACGCACTGTGCGGCTCTCCCCTGTGTTGGCCTAGGGAAATACACATTGAAAAAAAGAAAACAAATGAGCTTCAAAAGAGCAGCAGAAGTGCTTCCTGCCATACATACTGTGCAAGACTTTTCAATAAAATTGCACATTACAAACTGTGCAGGACTTTGATCAATGATATTCCAATTTCCCTCTTCCTTCCCTTGTAGTAGAGAATAGTTAGAAATAATTTCCTTTCACTCTTCATTTGACTCCAAGATCATCTCTGCCGCATTACATTTGCTGACAGAGATGGGGCTAATTGATAATTGATAATCCAAATATCTGCATAAAGCATGAGTTTTTGTGGAAGTCTCAGGGAGACACATGCTGAAGGGTCACTGATGGGGAAACCAGTAATTCCCATTAGCAGGCTGGATTTTGCCACTGCTTTTATCCCTTCCACTCCGATAACTTTGAATTTGACTAAATTTTAGTGAAGTTACTATATTCTGTCACTCCAGTGTTGCTTGACATATGAAGTCACTGACTCAATAAACCACTTCCACGCATATTTGTACACAACTAACAACTAGACAGCCACTTACATTTTCTACATTGAAGTCCCTTATTGTCCATTCTGGAAGAACAGTCTCCAAGACCACTGTCACAGCAATGTCACCATAGGTCTTGCTTTGTTTGTCTGGCCAATATTGCTCACATTTTGTCTAAGAAGAGAATTAAAAGGTTCAACACATTACACAGAGCAATGAAACACTGGGAAAAAAACAGAAGATCATGCCAAGGTAGTTTCCTGTGACTCCACCTTGGCCTTGTCTGTTAGTTTTAAATAATGCGCCACCCTCAAGTAAGGCTAGGAAGCATTTCACCCTTCCCAATGTCCTATCCTAAGGACAGAGCAGATCTATTAAAATCATTCTCTATGGAGAGGAACCAATCTTAAAAATGGAGATTGCACAACCCTCCTGAGTCTGGTAGTCAGGAGATATAAAGGGGAAAAAAAAATGTGCTCATTGAACTCAGAAAACAATCTTCTATTAATTAGATGCTTGTTTTAAGAGTGATCAATCTCCAACTTATTAGGGTAACAACAAAATTAGAAGAGATATAATTGTCTTCAAGAGATGGTTCGGTTTTAATATTAATGCTAAACAAAACAACAACAAAACCACCATACCCGGGCTTGTTCAACACATTTCGTCAACATAACAATACAGTAGATACTCTCATCCCAAATCATGCGCCAGAAGTCTTCTGTAGTATTGGCTAAAGGACCTTGTGCAGCAATAAATGCTTTCTTTGAGATATAGCCCTAAGAAGAAAAAATATACACATTCACACCTTCGTCCATGAGCCATAAAAAGTCAATTTTATTAATCACATGATCTGTTAAGCCTATATCACAAAAATACACATTATTTTTCTTCTCAACTAATGAAGCAACTTACAGGCATATAGTTTGCATTAATGTAATCACCACTTCCAGAGTTTAGATCTGAAAGTTTAACACGAGAAATATCATCTGCAGAAAGAGAGGAAAAGAAAATTATGAATTTAAGAACTTTCAGAAATTTTCAGCAAAATACTGCAGTTCTAACACATTTTCTAAATAAAAGGTGTTTTAGAATGATGGGCATTCTAAGAATAAGAACGTAGTTTTAGGAATCAGATGTAGCAGTAGTTCAGGCTTTTATCATGAAGGTCTTCAGAAAAAGGATTGGCCAGCAACAATAAATTCAGAACACTGAACATATTTTTAAATACGATTTGTTTTCTCACAAACACAAAGATTTGTATTTAATCCAATTCTTCCTTAACACTTCACTTTGCTGGGATGCCCACAGATAGCTTGGCAGGGTTCAGGCTCTTAGTTTGCAAAGCTGTCCAGCAATGTCTTAATATATATTTTTTTATTGTTCTGATAGATCTGGACTGCAAGTTTCTCACAAATGAAAAATGAAAACAATTTAATTAAGAAAAATATTTTTATAACTTTCAAGGAAAGCTCTTTAGGTTTGTTTGTACAGTGATTTCACACTGGTATGTTCATACAAGTAAAACAACAGCCCAATTTGATTTTTTTTCCAAATTGGCAACAGTAATTCCCCTTTGAAACCTCCGGGTACTATTAAAACGAAATTAGCCAAACCCAAGGTTTTTCACCTAAAAGCTCAATTAATAGAAGTAACAAAATCTGAGAGAGTAACTTACATGGTAAGACATTATTGTATCTATTTTTCCCCCTGTTATCTGGGTTTTCAGCAGCAGATTTGGTCTGATGAACACCAGTAGACTTGAGTTCCTACAGTGAAAGAAAGATCCATGAGCACCTGGTCCTGGTTTAATAATTGTATAGAAACACATCACTGAAGCAAATATTCCAAACAACCTTGGCCTTTGCTGTAAAAGTAGACATGTAAAATTGGGATAGATGACAAAAATCTGCTTTCTACAAAGAGAGCAGGAGGGTAACAGTAACAAAGCTGATAGAGAAAGTATTAATACAGAATGGAAGAGTAATAGCATGTTTAAAGCCCAGAAGTGGGCTTTAAAAGCCTAGAAATAGTTTTGTAGAAATACATTAACAATGACACTGATTGCACACCCATTCTAACTCCAAGGCAGCAGATCATTTAGCATGAGCTTTGCTGGCATTACAGAGAGAAATGGAGCAAGTTACATCATGGAAGGACTGAAGAAGGAAGCAAGATCTGAGAGAAGGGCAAGGGTGGAGCACCAGCCTGCCAGGTATAGTAAAAGGGACAAACTTTGTTCTGGAAAGAATAAAACCTGTGAGTAACTTTGAGAAGTGGAAAAAAGTAAGATTTTTTTCAACAGCAGACATTACAACACAGAACCCATCCATGATAACAGCTGATTCCTGTCTTTTGTGCCCTATATAAATTAAGCTTTAGCACACTTCACAGAGAAACAGTTACAGTCACTAAGGAAATTCTGTTTTTTCTCTGACTGCTTATATCCTTCAATTTGTTCACAGGTGTGGTTTGCAAATCACACATAATACATTAAAGAAGCTTGCTATTAGTGAATGACCTGTCTTGCTGTTTAGGAAAAAAATGATGAAATAAACAAAGTGTAGAGAAGGTAAATGGCATTCCCAGAGTACAAATACCACTAGTGCAATGAGGGCAAGGACTCTGGAGGTCTTGTTTCCAGCAAGAGCTCTGAGCAGCAGGCCATGCTATAGCTTACAGGCAGATTTAATGGTTCAGGATGTGAAGAATTTATCATGCACTTCAACTAAACTTAGAGCTCACATGCAGCTTAATAATGTCTATTGTAAAAGGTCCCTTATTCTCCTCCCCTTCAGTAAACCTCACATACACTCCAAAGGAAAGCTAATTTGCTTTCCAAAAATATTTGTCACAAAGCTCTCCCGACTGAGGACACACACCTCATACTCTTCAGCAAAACCACAGTTGGAGTCTGCTTGCTGCTTCTTAAAGTAGGACTCAAAGTTCTCCACTTTAATCATTTTTGATCTAAAATGAGAAAAGCCATGTATTGGTAGCTGATACTAGGTAAATAAACCATGAATTCAGTTAATGTGTTACAAAATGTACTTTACTTACTTCTTTACTCTTCAGGGGAGAGCGGGAGAAGGGAGGAAGAAAAAAGGATGATTAGACACATGCAGTTGTACTTTTCACTATGTGAATCTAAGAACAAAAGCATGACTGTTAGTAGCACCCACAAAACTGCATTTACAGGGGGCAGAATATCAAGGCAGAGCATTTAACTGATCTGTGCCAGCCAAGAAGAGAACAGGGCATCCTATTGATGAGAAGGATATGACAGAAGGTGTCAGGCAGCAATTTCTGTGCTCCCCTTCCATCGGATCGGCCCCATTCCCTCGTGCATTTTATATCAATTAATTAAGTCTACACAGGTGGAACTTCACAGCATGCTCAGGCCATGCCTTTCCATCAGAAAAAAAATATATAAAATTGGTGCATGAGCCAATAACCTGGTTCAATTGCTTGTGATTTCCAGGATATTGTGGCTACCTATTGGTGGGCTATTACAATCACATCATCATCTGAATTAACAGCTCAGTGCAAAGTAGCCATAAAATTCAGTGCAGATTTTTGCTTATGAGCTCTTCACCAACAATTTGGATTGCTTCTTTAATGTGTACAGAAGCTTGTGTTTCGTGCAAACATCCTATTTTTCAAAACTGCATGGGGCATTTGTCTATAATAGTGATTCATGAAGCAAGCACTTAGATCACTGTAGCAGCTGTGGAAGTCTTGATCAATATAATTATTTCTAGCCTGCAGGCTTGAGTCTTTAAGTTTCATGAGGAGTTAATAATGCAGAATTGTACGTAAAACTGCACAGAAAACAAGCACCAGGGTTCAGAGTAAGTTTTGCACATATCACTTGAGCTCAGAAAACACCATCTGAAAGGATATTGACTTACTTGATTGGAGAAAAGGACACTTCAGTATTCCTTTTATCTTTCCTATGAGGAGAAAAAAAACAACATAATAGGATCACAGTAGAATTTAATGGAACATATGAGATTTCTGATGACAAGTGCTTGCTCAGAACAATTTCTTGTCTGAAATCATCTCAATCTGTGCAAAAAAAATTCCTGAGGCAAACCTTACACCTGCAGTGAAAATAAAAAACTTTTTCATTCTTTCAATGATGTTTTGCAGTGGGCCTGTTTCTTTCTGTTGGAACCAGAGCAAAATTATTCAAAACAATGGGTTTGAACAATCATTTAGCTAGTCTGATGTATCAGCTCTGATGTATAACGAAGATTTTGAATAGAATGTATTTTAAAGCATCATGGCGACAGTGAACAAGAACAGACACCTTTTTTTAATAAAAAGGTAGAGCAGTGAAATATTGATATTCCTCAACACAACAAATTAAATAACAAACATGTTGTTACCTTCTCCTTGTCCAGAATATGTAACCCACTATAGCGACTACAGCCAATATAGCTAAAAGGCATCCAATAACAGCTCCAGCAATAACACCTTATAAAAGAGAACAAGTATTACTCATCATTGATTTACATTTGACAATGCTCTGAATCAATCAACATACTACAAGAGAACCTTGCAGGTGACAGAACACACACTACACTCCTAAGTGTCCTCTCTTCTTTACTGTATCCTTTAGCAGGACCAGTATTGAATCAGTATTTGGCAGGATCAGTATTTGCATTCCAATACATTTGGTTCTAATTTACAGGAACTGTTAGGACAACAACTGCTTTTGCTGTTTCTGTACTAAAGTCACACTGTGTCATCCAATCCCTTTCAGCACAACATCAGTAGCATAGGTTTTGGTTACTTCTCAAATGGAAGTCATGTATGGAAAAAAAAAAGAAGAACCAGCAGCTCACCTGCAGAACTAGCTAGGTATGGATTTATGGAGCAGTGGCACTGCAAAGCTAAAAAGGAACAGTCCATTGCAGACAGACCAACGGATGTTTTGCTATCATGAAACTTGCCATTAATTAAGGAATTTCCACACACAACGTATGTTCAAAACTGCCAGTCCTGCATTAACTATACCTGGATCCTGGGGTAACGAAACCTTGTCAGAACAGGGTGAAAATGATACATAACTATATTCTTCCATAATGATGTTTTCCGCAGTAAAGTTTATGTTAGTGAAGCCTGCAACACTTGCCCTGTTAAGAGGAAAAAAACAACACACACAACATGATTTTAACAGCAAGGTTTGTGACCTCTTCAATTAGAACGCTTAGGTTTAAACTGCAGTGAGATAAATACCTGTATGAATGAAGTGGAGTCAATGGTCCATTTTTGTAGCCATACATGGTGTTTCCCTTGCCTACATTGATGATGTGCTCAGAACGGAAGGAAGGTAGCTTTGCCTTCTCTGTCTCTATAACATAAGTCACGTAGGTGCCTGTCTTCTTTTTCTTGAAATCTTCATATGTGTAGTTCAATTTAGACTTCAAAGGTGGACAACCTTCAGGAAAAAACAAGGATATAAGTGGTACACATCACACACTGTTTGTATAACCAACAGTGCAGTCGGAGAGGGTGTCACAAAAAACCACAGCTGTGATTGCTCTGCAAGTACTGCCTGAAATGAAAGGCTGAGGGCAACAGACAATCTCAGAAATTCCCTCTGCTGCAGTGCAATTTACTTAACTTCCCTTCTACTCCCTGGTGTTACTTGGTTTCATCTCCTTTTGGTTTTACTTCTACCATGTACAGTGGAGCTTCTCAATAAAGGCATATGAGTGGTGGACTCTGCTGTCCTTGTGGACAACTTTCACTACACAAGTCAGTCATGTCCAAACCCACTCCATCAACTACCAAATGTAGAGAATGCTACACACTGTAAAAAATAAGGGCAATTTGTGTTTGATAACACTGTGCTATTCAAACAACATCAAGCTTCATTCAGGGTGATGCTAAATTCATCCTGGCCTATACTGGCTGCTGTGTCTGACAAAGTCTCACACTTATGCCCCGAGAAATGAAAGAGTTACTTTCTGCTTTTCTCTTGTCATAGACACAAGTGGGACAAAACGATCAGTGACCAAAACATTTTCTTGTCTGAAAGATGCAGAACAGAGTAATGCAAACAGTGACCAGTAGGACACCATGTGCCAGACAACATTGCTTTGTGCAGTGTCTGCTGTTAAAAGACGAACCCGAGAAATCTGAGGCAGATTTTACAGCTTAGGCATGTATGACCTTAGACATGGTAAAACAGCTTACACCACCAGCTGTCTGACAACTCAAGGACAAGCAAACTAAGAAGAACGTCTTCCTCATTTGGCTGAAGTTTGCTTATATTGCTTTCTACTGATTGCTTTACAAAGCTAAAAGCTTCTTCTAGGAAGCTGATGTAGTATTGAATTTATCATTAAAAAGGAGAAGCTTGCAAAGGGGCTCTCTGAAAGGTTACTAAGTGGAAATGCTCTAACAAGTTTTCTACAGTCCCATAGACAAAGTTTGATCTGATATTCACTGCAACCAACAGCAAAGCTCCCGTTAGCTGTAACTGATGCAGGAACAGGGTGAAATGTGGCTCTTCTAAAGCACTAATGTGATTACATTAAATGCAGCTGAGGCTGGAATTAACTCAGTTGGCTAGAAATGGGTGTTCAATACCACCTGAGATGTCTTATCCAGTCCCTCATTTCAATTCCAAAAGGATGTACATCCTGAACAAATTGTGAATGTCTTGGTTATCGTCTCAAGGCACCTCACAGCCTGAGACACAACTGCATAGACAAATGCATAAAGTAATGAATGTCTCTCCTTAAGGTAATGATGTCTAGTTTTAAGACAGAGAAACCCAACTCAAACATATTAATACTATCTGAACACTACAAAGCTGAAGTGATGGTTGGCCATAATGATGGTTTTCTGCTCCTATCAAAGCACTGATCTGATTCCATACATACATAGGATCTTTCTTCCTTATTTCCCTCAAATCTTGAAACCACCTTCTTGAATTCCTTACAATCCACACAAAAATGGACTGAAGCTTGTCAAGACTAAACAGGACTGGTTGAAAGTACAAGCAGAGCTGTCACTGTGTGGAAGACATGACTTTCAAATCAGCAGTTCCAGTGCAGCTGAGTTGCACGTGAAAAGAATAGGAATTTTCTGCACTGACATACCATATATAGCTGGACATTTCTTGGACTTATATTGTATGGAAAAACACAGAAAAAAAAAGTCTACAGACTGCTGCATGATAAATTTCCAGTGCTGAGACAAAGGATAAGCAGGAACGTCATATCCCACTTGGAAAAAAAAAACACAACTATCTCCATCAGCTGTGTTATTCCTCCTGTGCACTGTCAGAAATTAAAAGGTGAACTAGAACCTACACTGCAAAGAGATGTTCCTTTACTTTATGATTTGTCTCTAGACATTCATGAATTAAAGAAGGCTTGATGCTTTAAAGAGGTGAGTTTTATAGAATACCATCTAGCTTTTCCTGGTATTCTGCTTCCTGTGACATGTAATGCTGACAATGTTATTCAAGCCTTCCAACAACCACACACACACACACACAAAAAAAAAACACCCACCCACAACAAAACCACCATCTCACTGCAGAAGTCTTCCAGTGGAAGAAGGGATGGAGAAAAACATCCCACATTGCAGAACTCTATATTTCCAGCTCTGAAAATTATTCTCTTGGGAAGAAGGATACTACTCAGTCTTGTGGCAGTAACCACTGGCAAATCAAGTAACCACTGGCAACCACTAGCAACAGCACAACAGCAATACTTCAGTCTTATACACAAGGATAACTCAGGCTGAAAAAGGCTGAGTGAAAACAAGAAGTGATTTGGCTTCAGTCAATCACAGTATTTGCCTCGTGATTTTTGAAAGGTGACTGAAAACAGAGCAAGCTTTTCCTCTCTCCATTTAACACCTGTTTGGAGTTTAAAACATCTGATATTTATCACAGTAAATTTTTTGTCCTAACATAATGCTATCTTATAAACTGCTTTCACACAGCTAGGAGACAACATTTTAAAGATCTTACCTTCCTCTGTTATGATCATTACTGCATAGGCTTTTAATGGTCCATACACTGCCTCAAAATCAGAAAATTCAACAGAAAATGAGTTGTAACTAAGCACCTTGACTACAGGAGGTTCTTTTGGAGCAGGTGGATCTGTAAACAAAAATATTTTTTTTAGTACCTTACTGTCAGGTGAAGATAATTTTTTCAAATAAGGATATATTGTAATAATGACATCATTCAGATCATGCATATTTATCATAAAATCATTTAGGTTTTTAAATACCCTTAAGATCATCAAGTTTAACCATTCACCTAAACATGAACTCCACCACCAGGCCATGTAGCTCAGTGCCACATCCTCACACCTCTTAAATACCTCCAGGGCTGGGGATCCACTATCTCCCTGTGCTGCCTGTTCTAAAGCCCAACCACCCTTTCCATGATGAAATTCTTCCTGATATCCAATCTAAACCTCCCCTGGCACAACTCCAGGCTGTTTCCTTGCATCCTATCACTTGTCACCTGAGAAAAGAGACCTACATCCACATCGCTGCAACCTCATTTCAAGGTGGTTGTAGACAGCGATGAGGTCTCCTCCCTCAGCCTCCTTTTCTCCAGACTAAACAGCCCCAGCTCCCTCAGCTGCTCCTCATGTGCCTTGTTTTCCATCCCCTACATGAGCTTTGTTGCTCTTCTCTGAACGTGTTCCAGCAACTCCATGTCCTTCTTGCAGTGAGAGGCCCGAAAGAGAACACTGCTCAAGGTGCGGCCTCACTAGAGCCGAGTACAGGGGACGATCACATCCCTTGCCCTGCTAGGCACACTAGGTCTGGTACAAGCCAGGATGCCATTGGCCTTCTTGGCCAGCTGGGCACACTGCTGGCTCATGTTCAGCCAACTGTCAACCAATACTCCCAGGGCCTTTTCTGCCAGGCAGCTTTCCAGCCACTCTTCCCCAAGTTTATGTTGCTGCATGGGGTTGTTATGACCCCACATGCAGCACTGGCATTTAGCCTTGTTGAATGCCATACAACTGGACTCAGATTACAGTTGGCATGAATGTAGCGTTCTTTTCATAATCTGCATGATAATAATAAACTGCATATCAATTATGCTATTCTGCAATTGCACAGTTAATGTTTTGGTCCTGTAAATATCTTCCATTCTCAGATCTCAATGCTTACCTGTAATGCTTGTTTTACATGTTTTCTGCACTGGAGAACTTGTAATACCATTTGAAAAAGTTGTAACAGTAACATTATAGGTTTTGAAATAATCCAAAGGTGATGTTTTGAAGCCTTCTGAACAGGACTGACTCTCTTCTGTTATAACCGAAGAATTAGCAGAATATATTTTAATGATGAAGCCAGAATAGTTACCATAAGGACATTCCCACTTCAGCATTAGGTAAGACATATTAGCCACCGGTTCACACTGAAATGAATTCACTGGGGAAGGAACTGCACAAAAAGAAAAAAAAAAAGTTTTCTATTTATGAGCTCTTCTGTGTATAAGCATTTGTAAAACAATGGTATTGCTTTCCACTTTTAAACAGACAAAATTACTGCCTACAAAGAACTTGCCACACAATGAGGAAGAAGAGTATTTAGCATACTAAGTACACAGATCCCCTTCTGTGCCAGTTCCTCTGCAGACAGGTTTACTGAGAAAACTGGGGTTGGATAGGTGTTTGTCAATATCAGCAAAGCTTTCCAATACTGTTCACCCATTGAACACAAACATTTTTAGACTTGTAGACAAACACTAACTCCCTGTGTAATTACATTAAATGCTTCGTGGGCAAAAAATAATAATAATAAAAAAAAAACTTCCTTTGATATTCCTAATGCCCTCAGTGGCTCACGGATAGCTGGACCGGATCTAACAAAAACTTAATCCGGTCATCTATGCTGTCTCCAGCAACGGATGAGCATGGATACAAAGAAAAGAATGCAGGACTGAAGGCTGTAAACATACTAGCATGTAAAGAAGAAGTTATACATGGCCCCATAGGGACGGTAGACAAGAGCACTAGGGTCACTGTACATGTAGAAGGTGACTGGAGTACACACCAATGATCCAAGAGGAAATAAGAGTGAATCCAAAGAAAACGCAAAGGAGACTGAAAAGAACCACAAGTGACCCTTCAACATGGTGCCAAACAGAGGAAGGGGGAGACCTAGCAGAGAGTTACAGCAGGAGCAGTGTGTGAGCCATTCCAAACAGCCTCTCAGCTGCCCTCTCTCCAGGGAAAGGGAGGGAAACTGCTCCAAGTCCCAGGGGTCACTCTGTGACAGGGGGTCTCGCTCTAGGACAGGACCCCAGGGGTCAGGACAGGACAGACTAAGCCACCTCCTTCAGGACTGGGCTGTAGCTAGCCCTGGCAGGACAAGACCTTGTGGTCACCAGTTACAGGAGCACAGGCTGCTCAAACCAGCGTAAAAGATCCTGGAGACCAAACAACTGAACTAGCTCTGTGAAAGGCAAGACAAGACTCAATAGCCACAAAAGTTTGCTGACAAAGACAAAAGCAGCAGAGGCAGAGCCACACTGGACTCTCTTGCACAAACTAATTAGCATTATGAGAAGCCAAGCAGCACGTTCGAAGTGCCAGAGACCCTCATAATGGGTTCATCATGAGGCATCTAGGAAATCTCAGTAAGAACCTGTAAACAGATTCACTTCACCTCAGTTAAACAAAGCAAAGGAAAGGACAAAGCAACGCAACAAGGGGAAAATATCACAGCGCTTAGCATAACGAACATAGGATCACCTCCATCTTCACCACACTGCTGAGGAGCTGAGTGGAGCAGCATAGACAAGAGCCACCCAGCAGTGCTGCCACGACTCAGCCACAACCAAACATCCTTCCAATGGGTGAAGTTCTCCAGGCAAAATACACCATGAGGGAGCCATTCAAAACAAGGGTGCGAAGCCCAAAACCAGAAGTAAGAGAAAGCGAAACCATGTTCCACACAACCTCTGTCTGCACAAGCATGACCAATAAGAGGAGGGCAGTGTGTAGCACCTATGCCTGCAGCAGTATTTCACCCGCCAGGCAGAGCCCCGGGCTGCACAGCACAACACAACCCACAAAAACATGACTGCAAGCAGCTGAGACTTACTTGTATACTGGCTTATGGACGCTCCTTCTCCTTCTGTCTGATTATCAGCCGCTACTGCAAATACCGTGAAATTGTAGTTTGTCCCAGGGATTAACTCGGTAATTTCAGCTTTCTTGACATTTGAGGTCTCGTTCCAAAAAGAGGTACCATTTGCAACCTCTATCCTATATGTGTAGGTGTCCGAAGCACTGTCGTTCACCTCCCACGTCAAGTTGACAGATGTCACACCAACATCCACTACCTGGAGATCATCAACTTTGCTGGGCCCTGGAAAGGCAAGAAAATAAACTGTCAAGACAGAGAAATACAGACAGTAGAAAAAACACAGCAACATTTTGCTATTTCACACAGATTAAGTGTTGACTGTAACCATTCAGCACTTGTCCAGTATCAATGCCCTGCTGCCAATATCCAGGGACATAAATGTATCTCAGGAAAGGACACAAATTTTGGAGGAGATTCTCTTTAGTTTATTTCACATGCTGAAATTACTTGTTTCCACAACAGCTTCCCAGACAGGTAAACGGAATTCAGGAAAGGAAGCAGAATGCTGGACAGTGTTGGTCTGTTAGTTCAAGACTGTGCCCGTGAGCATCTTAATCTGAGCTTCCCAGCACAGCCTCTCGGGGACACCAGAAGGAAACTTTGCAGGCAACAGTGGCCCGCAGTGCAGGGTCGAGGTTGGCAAGTCTAAAGCAGCACAAACACCGGGCAGACAAGACTCACCTTGGGCAGCTTAGACAAGCTCTGCTGAGTAGAAGCAGCTCCAGGACACGCTGCCCCTAATTGCTCTGTATATGGACGCTGCCTGTTCCCCTTCCACATCCTGAGCTCAACACAGAAGAAAGCTTTTCTTCCATCTGTCCCTCTGATCTGGGGAAAAGGTGCCAGAGCACAAAGCAGACAGAGCTGACACCACTCCTGATAACGAAGTCCTATGCAATGGCACAGCTCACAGAAGCCCTGGGCCATGGGCCTCTGCAGACAGCTCAAAACAAGCTTCAAGATCAGTAACTCTCTGTGATCCTGGGCACCGGATCCTTGCACACCACAGCCCCGCATAAAACCTGATGACAACCTCGAGTCACTGTGTTCACCTCGAGTACTGTGTTCAGTTTTGGGCCCCTCGCTACAAGAAGGACATCGAGATGCTTGAGCGGGTCCAAAGAAGGGCGACGAAGTTGGTGAGGGGCCTGGAGAACAAGTCCTATGAGGAGCAGCTGAAGGAGCTGGGCTTGTTCAGCCTGGAGAAGAGGAGGCTCAGGGGCGACCTTATCACTCTCTACAGATACCTTAAAGGAGGCTGTAGTGAGGTGGGGGTTGGCCTGTTCTCCCACGTGCCTGGTGACAGGACGAGGGGGAATGGGCTAAAGTTACGCCAGGGGAGTTTTAGGTTAGATGTTAGGAAGAATTTCTTTACTGAAAGGGTTGTTAGGCACTGGAACGGGCTGCCCAGGGAGGTGGTGGAGTCACCATCCCTGGAAGTCTTCAAAAGACGTTTAGATGTAGAGCTTAGGGATATGGTTTAGTGGGGACTGTTAGTGTTAGGTTAGAGGTTGGACTCGATGATCTTGAGGTCTCTTCCAACCTAGAGATTCTGTGATTCTGTGACAACCTGCACCAAGAGGTGCTGTATGGGGCCCATTCAGCCCTGATGTCCAGGCAAGGTCATGCTGTTGTAGCATCTGGATTTCTACATAGCTCATCAGCTTGGGCATTCAACAAGGCTAACTGCTCCACAGGCAGCTCTCACAGTCTCAGACCTTTACCTTTTTAACAAGGACAGCCTGACATTCATGCCCACAGGAGCCTGGACTAAAGCAGCACAGCATTGCAAAACAGTAAGAAGTTGGAAATACAAGGAAAAAAAGCAAGGCTCTGTTACAAACTGCTTGTTTAGGCACTGCAGGTGAGAGGCACCGGTTCCTTACTTGTACACTGGCTTTTGGGCTCTCCTTCTCCTTCCGTCTGACCATCAGCCGCTACTGCAAATACCGTGAAATTGTAGTTTGTCCCTGGGATTAATCCGGTAATTTCGGCTTCTGTACCATTTGATGTCTCATTCCAAACGGAGGCACCATTTGCAACCTCTATCCTGTATGTGTAGGTGTCCGAAGCATTGTCGTTCACCTCCCATGTCAAGTTGACAGATGTCTCACCAACATCCACTATCTGGAGATCATCAACTTTGCTGGGCCCTGGAAAGGCAAGACAACAATCCATCAACCTCTAACAATATCTGATGACAATTGGGAAAAAACACACAAAAACACAGGCACGCCACTGCTTCACTCCCTTCACGCCACTCGCCATTCCGAGTGCAGGGTCACCCAGCAACAGCACCAGATACTCCCAGAGGCTCATCCATCAACAGGCCTGGAAGGCAAGATTAAGGAAAAGGCGTCTCCAGTGGGATTCACCTCCCACTCACATTTAGAAGCAGGAGCACCCACCAATACCGTGCCAGCACTCCTAGGGCTCCTCTTGGGAGCCCAGAGATCTGTGCAGGAAGGAGACAACTGTGCAGATGAAGGTGCCAAAGACGACGGTGGTGCTCCTCGGCACAGCCTGAGGTAAGGATGATAAATGACTACCGGAAGAGAAACAGAAATGATCACCCAGGACCACCCTGCTCCTTTTCCACTGCTCAGGCCCCAACCTCACTCCGGGACAAGGAGAACAGTGAACACCTCCCCACAACCTCTCTGCGGCACTCTGTTCTCTGTGCCTCTGCCAACTGTCAGTCACCAGTCATCACCCACAGGCAGCGTGGACAGATTCTGGGAATCAACGGCAAAGCCATGAGCACATTCACACACGCATTTCTGGGCAACACAAATGACAAGAGCCACCATCGGTTTCCTTTGACATGCAGCATGGGGAAGGATCAGGCTGTGCTACAGCCTCGCAAGCCAGCTCAAAAAATGGCCCTGCAACACCGTGCATCCAGACGTAGGACACCCAGCACAGCAAGGTGCTGAATGGCCAAGGCAGTTCTCCTCAACTAGTGCTGCTCAATTCTCGTGCTCCTGCTGCAGCCTGATGGCAGACACGGGACCCAAATCACAGAAACTCCCCACGTGCGATCTGCTTTGTGCACGGGCGCATTGAAAACAGGTGTCTGAAGCCTAGGCTGTTAACATTTTTTTTATAAAAATCTATTTTAATAGACTTTGACAAAAAATAATATGGAATTTCTCATGCAATTTAAAAATTAAAAAAAATATTTTTTAGTCTCTTTCCCCTCCAAACTTAGGAAAGATAGGTTCTCAAGAAAAATCTCTATGCTGCAAGCTTTAGTGACTTTAGTTTCACCAACTGCTTACTGTCAAGGTTATGCTTCTTCTGCCTTCTAACCACCCACGCTTGGCATACAGCCCACATCAGGCTCCAGCACCAAAACATGCCCGCTGTCCACAGCCATACTGAACTACAAGCCTCACACAGCAAGGCAGAGACCCGAGCTGCACAGCACAACACAGCCCACCACAAACACGACTGCAAGCAGCTGAGACTTACTTGTATACTGGCTTATGGACGCTCCTTCTCCTTCTGTCTGATTATCAGCCGCTACTGCAAATACCGTGAAATTGTAGTTTGTCCCTGGGATTAATCCGGTAATTTCAACTTCCTTGTCCTTTAATGTCTTGTACCAAACGGAGGTATCATTTGAAACCTTTATCCTATACGTGTAGGTGTGCGAAGCACTGTCGTTCACTTTCCACGTCAAGTTGACAGATGTCACACCAAAATCCACTACTTGGAGATCAACTTTGCTGGGCTCTGGAAAGGCAAGACAACAATCCATCAACCTCTAACAATATCTGATGACAAATGGGAAAAACACAGGCACGCCACTGCTTCACTCCCTTCATGCCACCCATCATTCCGAGTGCAGGGGCACTCAGCAACAGCACCAGATGCTCCCAGAGGCTCATCCATCAACAGGCCTGGAAGGCAAGAGTAAGGAAAAGGCGTCTCCAGTGGGATTCACCACCCACTCACATTTAGAAGCAGGAGCACACATCAACACCGTGCCTGCGCTCCTAGGGCTCCTCTTGGGAGCCCAGAGAGCTGTGCAGGAAGGAGACAACTGTGCAGATGAAGGTGCCAAAGAAGAAGGTGGTGCTCCTCAGCACAGCCTGAGGTAAGGATGATAAATGACTACCGGAAGAGAAACAGAAATGATCACCCAGGACCACCCTGCTCCTTTTCCACTGCTCAGGCCCCAACCTCACTCCAGGACAAGGAGAACAGTGAACACCTCCCCACAACCTCTCTGCGGCACTCTGTTCTCTGTGCCTCTGCCAACTGTCAGTCACAAGTCATCACCCACAGGCAGCGTGGACAGATTCTGGGAATCAACGGCAAAGCCATGAGCACATTCACACACGCATTTCTGGACAACACGAATGACAAGAGCCAGCATCGGTTTCCTTTGATATGCAGCATGGGGAAGGACCAGGCTGTGCTACAGTCTCATGGGCCAGCTCAAAAACTGGCCCTGCAACACCGTGCATCCAGACGTAGGACACCCAGCACAGCAAGGTGCTGAATGGCCAAGGCAATTCTCCTCAACCAGCACTGCCCAAAGCTCAAGCTCCTGCTGCAGCCTGATCACAGACACGGGACCCAAACCACAGAAATTCCCCACGTGCAATCTGCTTTGTGCATGGGCGCATTTAAAAGAGGCGTTTGAAACCCACAGTTGATAATTATTATTTTTTTTTTAAATCCAGTCTTATAAGCATTATACAATAAAATAAAATGGAATTTCAAAATGCAAATTAAAAATTTAAAATAGATTAAAAAAAAAAAAGTCTATTTCCCCTCCAAACTTAGGAAAGATAGGTTCTCAAGAAAAATCTCTATGCTGCAAGCTTTAGTGACTGGTTTCACCAACTGCTTACTGTCAAGGTTATGCTTCTGCATTCTAACCACCCACGCTTGGCATATAGCCCACATCAGGCTCCATCACCAAAACATCCCCTCTGCCCACAGACATACTGAACTGCAAGCCTCACACAGCAATGCAGAGCCCCGAGTTGCACAGCAGAACACGGCCCACCACTAACATGACAGCAAGCAGCTGAGACTTACTTGTATACTGGCTTATGAATGCTCCTTCTCCTTCTGTCTTACCATCAGCCGCTACTGCAAAAACCGTGAAACTGTAGTTTGTCCCTGGGATTAACCCGGTAATTTCGGCTTCTGTACCATTTGATGTCTCGTTCTTAACATTTGCAATCTCTATCCTGTACGTGTAGGAGTGCGAAGCATTGTCATTCACCTTCCACTTCAATTTGACAGATGTCACACCAACATCCACTACCTGGAGATCATCAACTTTGCTGGGCCCTGGAAAGGCAAGAAAATAAACTGTCAAGACAGAGAAATACAGACAGTAGAAAAAACACAGCAACATTTTGCTATTTCACACAGATTAAGTGTTGACTGTAACCATTCAGCACTTGTCCAGTATCAATGCCCTGCTGCCAATATCCAGGGACATACCTCAGGAAAGGACACAGAAATTTTGGAGGAGATTATCTTTAGTTTATTTCACACACTGAAATTACTTGTTTCCACAACGGCTTCCCAGACAGGTAAACAGATGGAATTCAGGAAAGAAAGCAGAATGCTGGACAGCGTTGGTCTGTTAGTTCAAGACTGTGCCTGTGAGCGTCTTAATCTGAGCTTCCCAGCACAGCTTCTCGGGGACACCAGAAGGAATCTTTGCAGGCAACAGTGGCCTGCACTGCAGGGTTGAGGTTGGCAAGTCTAAAGCAGCACAAACACCGTGCAGACAAGACTCACCTTGGGCAGCTTAGACAAGCTCTGCTGAGTAGAAGCAGCTCCAGGACACGCTGCCCCTAATTGCTCTGTATATGGACGCTGCCTGTTCCCCTTCCACATCCTGAGCTCAACACAGAAGAAAGCTTTTCTTCCATCTGTCCCTCTGATCTGGGGAAAAGGTGCCAGAGCACAAAGCAGACAGAGCTGGCACTGCTCCTGAAAATGTGGTCCTATGCAATGGCACAGCTCACAGAAGCCCTGGGCCATGGGCCTCTGCAGACAGCTCAAAACAAGCTTCAAGATCAGTAACTCTCTGTGATCCTGGGCACTGGATCCAAGCACAACACAGCCCCGCATAAAACCTGATGACAACCTGCACCAAGAGGTGCTGTATGGGGCCCATTCAGCCCTGATGTCCAGGCAAGGTCATGCTGTTGTAGCATCTGGATTTCTACATAGCTCATCAGCTTGGGCATTCAACAAGGCCAAAGTGCTCCACAGGCAGCTCTCACAGTCTCAGACCTTTACCTTTTTAACAAGGACAGCCTGATATTCATGCCCACAGGAGCCTGGACTAAAGCAACACGGCAATGCAAAACAGTAAGAAGTTGGAAATACAAGGAGAAAAAGCAAGGCTCTGTTACAAACTGCTTGTTTAGGCACTGCAGGTGAGAGGCACCGGTTCCTTACTTGTACACTGGCTTTTGGGCTCTCCTTCTCCTTCTGTCTGATTATCAGCCGCGACTGCAAAAACCGTGAAATTGTAACATGTCCCTGGGATTAACCCGGTAATACTGGCATTTGTAGCATCTGATGACCTGTTCCCAACATTTGCAATCTCTATCCTGTACGTGTAGGAGTCCGAAGCATTGTCGTTCACCTTCCACATCAAGTTGACAGATGTCTCATCAACATCCACTACCTGGAGATCAAGAACTTTGTTGGGCCCTGGAAAGGCAAGACAACAATCCATCAACCTCTAACAATATCTGATGACAATAGGGGACAAAAAAACAAACCAAAAAACAAACAAAAACACACAAAAACAAAGGCACGCCACTGCTTCACTCCCTTCATGCCACTCGTCATTCCAAGTGCAGGGGCACTCAGCAACAGCACCAGATGCTCCCAGAGGCTCATCCATCAACAGGCCTGGAAGGCAAGAGTAAGGAAAAGGCGTCTCCAGTGGGATTCACCACCCACTCACATTTAGAAGCAGGAGCGCACACCAACACTGTGCCAGTGCTCCTAGGGCTCCTCTTTGGAGCCCAGAGAGCTGTGCAGGAAGGAGACAAGTGTGCAGATGAAGGTGCCAAAGAAGAGAGTGGTGATCCTCGGCACAGCCTGAGGTAAGGATGATAAATGACTACCGGAAGAGAAACAGAAATGATCACCCAGGACCACCCTGCTCAGGCCCCAACCTCACTACGGGACCAGGAGAACAGTGAACACCTCCCCACAACCTCTCTGCGGCACTCTGTTCTCTGTGCCTCTGCCAACTGTCAGTCACCAGTCATCACCCACAGGCAGCGTGGACAGATTCTGGGAATCAACGGCAAAGCCATGAGCACATTCACGCACGCATTTCTGGGCAGCACGAATGACAAGAGCCACCATCGGTTTCCTTTGATATGCAGCATGGGGAAACACCAGGCTGTGCTACAGCCTCATGGGCCAGCTCAAACACTGGCCCTTCAACACCATGCATCCAGACGTAGGACACCCAGCACAGCAAGGTGCTGAATGGCCAAGGCAGTTCTCCTCAACCAGCGCGGCCCAAAGCTCACGCTCCTGCTGCAGCCTGATGGCAGACACGGGACCCAAATCACAGAAACTCCCCACGTGCAACCTGCTTTGTGCATGGGAGCATTGAAAACAGGTGTCTGAAGCCCACAGTTGCTAATTTAAAAAAACAAAACAAAACAAACAAAAAAAAACAGTGTTAATAGCATTATACAATACAATAAAATGGAATTTCAAAATGCAATTTAAAAATTTAAAGTAGAATTTTTTTAAAAAGTCTCTTTCCCCTCAAAACTTAGGAAAGATAGGTTCTCAAGAAAAATCTCTATGCTGCAAGCTTTAGTGACTGGTTTCACCAACTGCTTCCTATCAAGGTTATGCTTCTGCATTCTAACCTCCCACGCTTGGAACATCAGGCTCCATCACCAAAGCATCCCTGCTGTCCACAGCCATACTGACCTACAAGCCTCACACAGCAAGGCAGAGACCCGAGCTGCACAGCACAACACGGCCCACCACAAACCCGACTGCAAGCAGCTCAGACTTACTTGTATACTGACTTATGGACACTCCTTCTCCTTCTGTCTGATTATCAGCCGCTACTGCAAAAACCGTGAAACTGTAGTTTGTCCCTGGGATTAACCCGGTAATTTCGGCTTCTGTACCATTTGATGTCTCGTTCTTAACATTTGCAATCTCTATCCTGTACGTGTAGGGGTCCAAAGCATTGTCGTTCACCTTCCACTTCAATTTGACAGATGTCACACCAACATCCACTATCTGGAGATCATCAACTTTGCTGGGCCCTGGAAAGGCAAGACAACAATCCATCAACCTCTAACAATATCTGATGACAATTGGGAAAAAACACACAAAAACACAGGCACGCCACTGCTTCACTCCCTTCATGCCACTCGTCATTCCGAGTGCAGGGGCACTCAGCAACAGCACCAGATGCTCCCAGAGGCTCATCCCTCAACAGGCCTGGAAGGCAAGATTAAGGAAAAGGCGTCTCCAGTGGGATTCACCTCCCACTCACATTTAGAAGCAGGAGAAAAAACCAACACCGTGCCAGCACTCCTAGGGCTCCTCTTGGGAGCCCAGAGAGCTGTGCAGGAAGGAGACAAATGTGCGGGGAAAGGTGCCAAAGAAGAAGGTGGTGCTCCTCAGCACAGCCTGAGGTAAGGATGATAAATGACTACCGGAAGAGAAACAGAAATGATCACCCAGGACCACCCTGCTCCTTTTCCACTGCTCAGGCCCCAACCTCACTCCAGGACAAGGAGAACAGTGAACACCTCCCCACAACCTCTCTGCGGCACTCTGTTCTCTGTGCCTCTGCCAACTGTCAGTCACCAGTCATCACCCACAGGCAGCGTGGACAGATTCTGGGAATCAACGGCAAAGCCATGAGCACATTCACACATGCATTTCTGGGCAACACAAATGACAAGAGCCACCATCGGTTTCCTTTGACATGCAGCATGGGGAAAGACCATGCTGTGCTACAGCCTCGCAGGCCAGCTCAAAAACTGGCCCTGCAACACCGTGCATCCAGACGTAGGACACCCAGCACAGCAAGGTGCTGAATGGCCAAGGCAGTTCTCCTCAACTAGTGCTGCTCAATTCTCGTGCTCCTGCTGCAGCCTGATGGCAGACACGGGACACAAATCACAGAAACTCCCCACGTGCGATCTGCTTTGTGCACGGGCGCATTGAAAACAGGTGTCTAAGCCTAGGCTGCTAACATTTTTTTTTATAAAAATCTATTTTAATAGACTTTGACAAAAAATAATATGGAATTTCTCATGCAATTTAAAAATTAAAAAAAATATTTTTTAGTCTCTTTCCCCTCCAAACTTAGGAAAGATAGGTTCTCAAGAAAAATCTCTATGCTGCAAGCTTTAGTGACTTTAGTTTCACCAACTGCTTACTGTCAAGGTTATGCTTCTTCTGCATTCTAACCACCCACGCTTGGCATACAGCCCACATCAGGCTCCAGCACCAAAACATGCCCGCTGTCCACAGCCATACTGAACTACAAGCCTCACACAGCAAGGCAGAGCCCCGAGCTGCACAGCACAACACAGCCCACCACAAACACGACTGCAAGCAGCTGAGACTTACTTGTATACTGGCTTATGGACGCTCCTTCTCCTTCTGTCTGATTATCAGCCGCTACTGCAAATACCGTGAAACTGTAGTTTGTCCCTGGGATTAACCCGGTAATTTCGGCTTCTGTACCATTTGATGTCTTGTACCAAACGGAGGCACCATTTGAAACCTCTATCCTATACGTGTAGTTGTCCGAAGTATTGTTGTTCACCTCCCACGTCAAGTTGACAGATGTCACACCAACATCCACTACCTGGAGATTATGAACTTTGCCGTGCTCTGGAAAGGCAAGAAAATATACTGTCAAGATAGAGAAATGCAGAGCGTGGAAAAACTATTGGATTTTCCTCAACCAATTTCTATTTTAATCAAGACATTCTTTTATGTTATATAGCATGATTGCTAGCTCTATGATCTTCCTCCAGCTCCTGAAGACTCACTTCATCTCAAAGATTAAAACTGTCTTGGTGCAACGGTGGTGACTTCCATACCTTACTTGTCAACTTTATGCAAGCTGCTGAAAAAGAATTGCACATACAATTTATTTATTTATTTATTTTTCCCTGAGCTAGCTATCCTAAAGAGAAGATCTGCAAGATTCACAAAACACTCCTCTAGATCCAGGTAGGTTATTTCAGCTGTACTCTATCACATATATATTTCAAATCTCTAGGTCTCATATTTGAACTGCTGCAGCTGTACTGTAAAAATTTGCCATAATCAGCAAGGAAGGGAACCCAAGTCTAATGATGATAAAACTATTTCAAGGCCATTCTACAATCACATTGTTCAGTTATACTATTAGTCAGTTGTGTAGATAATTTTTTTTTTTTTTGCTCATTCTCTACTTCAGTAAAGCAGTTGGATCCACTTCCTGCCACGATCCTTGCACTGTGAACTATAGTTCGGACTTAAAATGCTAACATAGGGTAAAAGCACAGAATACACTAAAGGTTCGCATCCCGGTGGCATTCCAAATCACTTACGTGTTGCATTGTTCTGATCAACAGCTAGTGGCATGTCCCCTGATGATCTTTTGTTCCTACTTGGAGAGTTTACTGATAAATCATAATTACTACTGGGTCCCATTTCTGCAATTAAGTTTTTTGATCTGCAATCCTCAGTACCTGAAAGAAAAAAAAATACAAGGCAGTAAATATCTTTACAAAACTTCTGGATTCCCCATGTGAAAAAATACAGCCATTTACAGATACCTTGCAGAGACCCAGCCTCCTCTGTTTTTTTAATCTGTTCTCCTACAGAGATTTTGTTGGACGTTTCCTGTTTTTACCACTTCTAACTTTTGTCAGACAATTTATGTTAGATTAAGAAATTGCCACATGGCTTCAGGTATTCAGTGACTCAACTCATAGTTTGAATGAAGGCTACCATGAGCTGCTCTGTACAGTTTTTAAAAAAAAACTTAGAAGTACAGTCTGTATGTGCATTGTTATTATGTAAAGCTAACTGCTTTACTCAACCTGGCATAGCAACTTTATTTCTTAGCCTCAGTGTATGAGAGTAAAAAAAAAAAAATAAAAAAATCTGGTATTCACATACTGTTTCCCATAAGGCAGATATGATATAGTTACAGAAAACTTTAGGTTGACATAGTGCAGCCCAATGTGAGGAGAGAGTTGATTCAGCTCTTTCAGTGAGAATACACAGAAAAACTGCTATCTTAGTTGAAGCTGTGATATTGTTACATGAGCAATACGCACTGCAAGCATGCTTAGGAAAGGTGATTGTGAGCATCAGGATTTCTAGTCCTGGAGCATGGGTTTGGACAGAATCCCAACAGAACAGTTGTTTCTCAGTTTCATCAAAACTGATACACATGCAGGTTCACATGAAACTGAAAGCAAAGAAAATACTATGAGCCAAACTCACTCACAGTTCAAAGCTCCTTCAGAACTATATACAGTTTAAAGCAGTATAAAATGTGAGTTTGTCTCTCCCATTTTAGTTTGGTCCTGAAACTTAAGGGCTAACTCATTTAAGTCTGATGTTTGGTATTAAGGTAGATCTCATCTGCAAGTAATTTTGGAAATTAGTGACACATGAAGCGTTGTCATCTCGGTAAGCACAGCAGTTGCTATACCTACTTCAAAAAATCCTTGGATCATTATTTTGGGAGTCATTTTTGCTCCAAGTTGTTTGTTTTGATGTATATTTTCCTCTTTCTTTGTTAAACCTGTACTTGATTTTACCAGAACCCTTGACAAACTGAAAAGCAAAAATGGATTAAAATGCACATATATGTCCTTAGATATCCTTAAATGCACTGCTTGAATTATGGTGACCAAATGGGAGTTTATATTTCTGAATGCTTTTTATAAAAAGTAATTTCAGCAGGTTTTTTTTAAATAGTTAGCTGATGCTCTTTGACCTTTCTAAAGAAAAAGAGGACAGCAAAAGTTAAGTACAAAAAAAAAAAATACATAATTGAGTCACAGAATAATACTTACAGACAATTGTACATCTGACCTAGAAAACAAAAAGAAATAAATTAAAACTTTAAAACTACTGGAGGCTCAAATAAAATAAGGACTGTTTAAGTAACAGGTAGTACAAAAAAAAAAGTTTTAAAAAGAAAGTATTGTTTCACTATACACTTCTCAACCTGCAAAAGAAATACCTAAAAATCTATTAACAAAAACAACACCGAAAACATTCTGATCAATTAGAGAGAAAAAGTAAGCATGCTGGTAAAATGTTAGTTTCCACATTTTTTTCCCTCTAACCAACCTTTATTTTGTCAAAAACCTGGCTTGGCATAAGGTGGTTATTTTACGCATAGAAATTTAAAAACAAACACCAGATCTTAATTAAGAAACTTAAGTTACCCTCAATACCATCCCACAAAAAGAGGCAGATGAGACTGATAGGGTTTTTATTCACAGGGGATTTTTCTTTCATCCTATGGCTGCATAAACTTTATTATTACTTCTCACAAAAGAGCATTTTGCATTTTCTGAAACAATTCAGTGAAGTCAAAATTCAAAACATTTAGCATATATTCTTAATATCCTACGAGGAGCGGCTGAGGGAGCTGGGCTTGTTCAGCCTGGAGAAGAGGAGGCTCAGGGGTGACCTTATTGCCTCTCTACAGGTACCTTAAAGGAGGCTGTAGCGAGGTGGGGGTTGGTCTGTTCTCCCACGTGCCTGTCACGGGAATTTTAGATTGGATGTTAGGAAGAACTTCTTTAACGAAAGGGTTATTAGGCATTGGAACGGGCTGCCCAGGGAAGTGTTTGGGTCACCATCCCTGGACGTCTTTAAAAGATGTTTATATGTAGAGCTTAGGGATATGGTTTAGTGGAGGACTTGTTAGTGTTAGGTCAGAGATTGGACTCGATGATCTTGAGGTCTCTTCCAACCTAGAAATTCTGTGATTCTGTGATATGTACACATAAAATAGCAGCAGCTGCCTATTAACTGCAACCTAAAACTAGTCTGCTACAAACACTGACAGGAACACAAGAATTTTGCTTTGAAAACGTTTTTAGTCTTTCAACTTCGTGCTTTTCCTCCCCGCTAAGCTATTCCCCTTCCTGCTAGTCCCCAGACAAACTGCCCTCTAAATTGTTTTCTTCATCTCCCGCCAGGTGGCAGCACAAAATGCTCCTAAAAGAGCGCACTAAAAGCACCAGATAGGGGTCTGAAGGCACTTGAGAGAAAAATAGTGATTTCCAGCTGACACCAACCGACTGCGGCAGCCTACTTTTGTCAGGCAACAAACACAAGACTGCTTCAGCAGTCGTAGAAAATTAAATACAACCATTCACCTCACAAAGATGCACGTTAGAAGGTAAAGGCAAGCAGGGAGATCTACGCATCCCTATAACACACGGGGCCCCAGCACAGTGCTAAGGACCAGAAGATAATGGTTCCCTTGTGCCACGAGGGCTTGCAGGCACAAGAGGTTTCTGGCCACACACCTCTGGGTCTTCCAGCATTATGGTGTGGGTAATCGGAGACTGTCTCCATTCCCAAGCTCCTTGGGTGGTGCCAGAAGAAGGGCTGGCCCTCAAAATGCATTGTTTATAGAAAATCAAGTTTAGCTTTATGCTGGATGGTGCCTTACCCACGCAAAGCACTAAGCCTTCTGATAGCAAAGGTTGACACATTTACCTGAAGCACCTTCAGGTTTTCTCTCATTTTCTTTTTCCACTGTTTTCTTAGACGAAGTTGCTACCACCCAACAACATGATGAGTAAGCAACGGCCCTGAGCAACCTGCCCCTGGTGACCCTGCTTCAGGTGTGTGTGGGGGTAGATTTGATCATCTCCTGGGGTCCCTTCCACCCTTGCCCATTCCATTTCTGAGCTTCCACAAGCTAACTAGAAATAAGCGGCTATATCGTGACAACACAATGTAGAGCCTGAATCCCAAACAGCTTGCCCCTCAGCTCTGCTGTTGCCACAACCAGCTCCAGCAGCAACAGGGTTACAGGCCCTGGCAGACACCCTCTCAAAAAGTTAGACGATACCATTAGGTCTTGCTCTTCATATAAATGGCTACAAAAAGCATTCTGCAAAGGTGAGGTAGACAAGCTGACTAGAAGAAACACAGCAGAAGGAAATCCTTCAGCTTAACAACAGTGAGAAACGCAGCAGAAGAGACTGCGATGGTGTCAGTGCTGCAGCAAAATGTTTGGCTGCACTTCCTAAGCAAAAAAGTGCTTGTAAGAGGTAAAGAACCAACTCCTGATCTTCTCCAGTGCAGTCCTACAGACAACACAGGGCACAAAGGACAATCGGTACTCGGGTTCGCATCTCCTACATACAAATGTAATACTCATAATGTCAACCTTGCTGAATATTTGAGAGCCCAGCCTAAATCGCTAGGCCTATAGGAAGTGAAGAAACGTGTTCATTTGCACTCAGGTCAAGAGTCCTTCTGTATTCTTTCACAAACAAGTGGCCAAGGAAGAAGTAACTACAAAGAAAAAGCCACTCAAAGGCAGGAAAACAGCCCTGTGCAGCATTCCAAGTACAAGTGCTGAGCTACCTGGAAACAGCTGCTGAGTGACGAGCAAAAGGTGAGATTCCCTGAAATGCAGGGCCATCTAGAAGAAAAGCCAGAAAGATGCTGTGCTTAATATGAAAAGGAAATTGTAAACGGGAAAAGAACAAAGAAAAATGAAACAGAACTGTGTATGTCACAGTGATTTCTACAGCCCCACAGGCAAAATAGCAAAAGCCTCACATCACACACAACTTGTCCTTAAGTTATTCTCTCTTCTGTAAAACCACCTGGAGATGCCAGTGTTCTTGAATTTTTAAGTTTCTCAGTTCCTTCTCCTGAAAGTTCAAGTTCAGGTGTAGAGCATCCTTCCTGAGCAACAGGAACAGACATCAGATGACTGAGAAATAGCTATGCCACTACCAAGCCCCCCAATACCCCTGCTTGCAAACTTCCCCATTTCTTCCCTGCCTGCCCAAACAATACGCACGTTGATCCCTGGTTTACTCCCAGCTCTGACCATCTGATCTAACAGCAACTTACTACCAAGCTGCCACGAACTCAGTTGTACAGTCATGCGTTGGTTTTGTTAATGATGTTCAAGCAACAAAAGGAAAGTTGTGCTAAAACTTCTGTCTTGTGATGATCGAACATCTTCCTGGCATTTTATTTGCTTTTGTTCATCGCAGACTTCAGCAATCTCGCAATACCCCTCTGACTTTCCAGAAAGCTACATGCTAACCAAATTGAACAAAGCACACCCTGCCAGCAGCAGACAGCCCTCCTTATGAAACCCAAAACCACGCAAAACAAATGATCCCATTCCCGAGCGTCAGCCTGCCTGACTCAGTCATTCCGTGCTGTATTTTTCAACAAGCCATTGACTTAACTGTTCTCCAGCCTCCTGTTATTACTTAATGAAATGCTATTTATACAAAACATTTGTTTATTATTTCAGAGGATATTCATGCTGAACACCTGATTCTCCTTGGGTTCACATCTGACATGCCCAGAGCCGTGCCAATTCCACTTTTCTTTTCAATTACATTAATCCATATTACTCATGTATGGAGCTGTTCCCACCTCCTCCTCTCCCCCAGACAGCTGGAATGTGCAGGGGAGAACATCTCTCCCCAAGAAAAGCTAGGAAATATTCAACAGATCAAGCAAACAAAAAGACAGCAAAATGTGAAACGGTGAACATTTCAACTGAATAACAGGAGAGGTGTGTATACACAAACTCATCGCTGTCACCAGCTATGGCAAATTAATCTTTTCATGCATCACACAGCAACACACAGAATCTGACCAGAGGGTGTGCTTTGCAGGGGAGCTGAAGAATTCATCTGCACTCACATGAGGTCTGTCCTGCACTCCTCATTTGTTTTGTGTAAGAACTGCAGGACTCGGCTCCATCCTCCTCATGTAGAAGGTGGGTCACATCACTGAGCAATCACCATTATTTTCACAGGATAATTTTACCAATGAAGAAACTAAGAACAGGAAAACATTGTTGCAGGAAAACATTTTCAAAAATTCTACATGACTGAGAAGCCCAAGCCGCACTGATGTTTGCTGACTCAAAGCTTTTCAAGAGGAGGATCTGAAATGTGCCTGCCATACACAAGCATCAGAGCAGCCATGGGAGCTGGGCAGCAGCAGGAAGCCAGCGGTGCCTCTCCTGCTGGCAGCAAGACTTTGGATTGACTCTACAACTTCCCTCTACAACTACCTGAAACAAAGCTGCGGGGATTTGGGGGGGTCAGCCTCTTCTCACAGATAACTAGCAATAGGACAAGAGGGAATGGCCTCAAGTTGCACCAGAGTAGGTTCAGGTTGGAAATGAGGAAACATTTATTCTCAGAAAGAGCAGTCAGGCATTGAAATGGGTTGCCCAGGAAGGTGGTGGAGTCACGGTCCCTGGGGGTGTTCAAGGAAAGGTTGGACGTGGTGCTTAGGGTCATGGCTTAGTGGGTGACATTGGTGGCAGGGGGATGGCTGAACCAGATGACCTTGGAAGCCCTTTCCAACCTTACTGATTATAGGATTCCAACTAGGCTGTGCTGCCAAACTGCACCCTCCAGCAAAGTTTGGGTTCCTGCATAGGAGGAAACCCTCGTCGACAGCAACCCACCTGCCTGGGGTGCTCCAGTTTCCAAAACAAACAGCGTGGTCTGGTTCATGTAAATAGAGGGTTAGGAAGTTGGCTCTAGAGTCAAAGTGTGAGCAAACCAAAACACCCTAACCAAGAAACCCCCTTAGCCACAAATCTTTCCTGAGAAGACAGTTGAGGCTGCTGCTTACTATTTCATGTGTGCTCACCAGCGCGTGCCTTATGACTCAGATGCAAAGAGCCAGGAAGCTGCTCACACCCCTCTCACAACTAACGATCTTTCACACCTGTACCTTCTGATCTTCTCTTCTCCACCCACCCATCCTCTCAGGTTTGGATTAGCTCTACACAAATACCACCAAGCTGTCATTACTGCAGTCTCCAAATTCCTTCTCAAAGCCCCTTCACAACAGCAATAGCAATCAGACCATTGGCTAATTAAGCTCAGTGCCCACTGAACTTGACCTCGCTTCCTTTTTCCCTCTGCTGTGTGCACCTACCATTAGCCTGTCCCACACCCATGGCCATGGGCTTTTAGGGCAAGCCAGAACACTGAAACCATCACAATGGTTTTAAGACTCCAGGCTTTGCTGAAGTTAGAAGCCATCGCTGCCCGGCTGACAAATATTAACTAGCAAAGCCACAACGACTCCGTCGCTTGTAGTCTTCTCTGACACCTCAGATTTTTCATACTTGGGCACAGGTTTATTCAGAAAGAATTCCAACACAAAGGTTTCGCTCTAAGTCACACAAAAGTGAAAACTAAAGCCACGAATATCACCATGAAGTCCTGCAGTGCTGACAGTGAGATTGCCCAGGCATTGCATCCACAGACTGACAAGGCCCTCCAATACTTGCTCGTTTTCTAGGACTTGTAAGGCATTGGCTGCTGCTCCAGCTGGGGACATGTTCCCATTACATTGGGAGTATAGTGTCTAGACCAGCAGGATGCGTTCCTGCAGGAGGGAACAGTCTCAAAGGCTGGCTGGGGTTTCGACAGATGCAACATTCTTGTCTCTTTCAACCCATCTCAGGGCTGTTTCACCTTATTCATTTCCACGTTATTGCCAAATCAATGGATTTTGTAGGCTTACAGCACAGGGCAATCAAAATGAGATTACATGAACTGGGACTTAAAACCACGTCCCACTCATTAGGTGTGAATGAGCCTATATGAGCCTACTTCAAATACCATGCCTTACTTTGACAATTTCTGGCTTTGGGGGCAAAAAGAAAGATCATAACAGAAAATGAACTAAAACATACTGCCATAGTATTTCGCCTTATTTTCTAATTTCTTCCTAAGATGTCATAAGTCTTTAATTCCAAAACGCTTCTCTGCATTTAAGCAAAGTCTAAATGTATCCTCTGGTATCTTAGGCAGGCACTCATGGCACATCCACAAAACACCATTTCACAGAGTGGTTTAAGAGGGTTTATCCCCTGGGGTGAAAGCTCCAGTTTTAGAAGCAGAACTCAAGTTTTTGTGAGATATTTGGAGTCTCCATATAACCCTAAATGAGCAGCAATGCTAACGAGACTGCATGGGGCTAGCTGGAGGTCCAAAATCCAGAAGAAAGAAAAATGAGCTGATGTTTGCTATTAATTGGGTAGGGCTGGGCCCCATTCTGACACAATGTTGTTTTAGGAAGCTATGCAAAACCCTAAAGCAGTTAATAGTCATACACAACTGTGCATAGGCTATTTTGAGCTTTTATGCAGTTATATGAAAGAAGGAAGACTATTTCCACTTTACAAATACAAGTATTTGACCCCTGACATTTCTAAATTCTGTCTTCCCCGAAGCAAGCTTTTCTCCAAAGAGGGACCAAATATAATTTTTCCACTGACTTTTATGAATAAGTTTGAGATTCTGTTTTGTGTATCACCTCCAGTGAACTAAAAATGCTGTCAAAGACAAAACCTTGTAGAAAAGCTAAGATGAGACACCGAATGAAAATTCACAGTGAAATATACTGGAGAAAATCTTCCCTTCCTCTTCCTGGTTTTTCTCTGTATTCGACCTTGTACCTGCTTCTCAGATGGCTAACATAGGAGTGAGGAATTTTCTGGGCAAAGTATCTGAAATCAAGAGAAAATATCTAGAATGGAACTCATCTGAAACGCACCTGTTAGACCTGCTTCTACTTTCTCAGTCCTATCCTTCTAGAAAAGGTTTTTGAGGGAAGTTTTCCAGTGGTTTGGTACCAGGCGATGACTTATCTACCCGTGCACATAAGAACAAGCAACAGAAATACCTAAGGCCAAAAAGCACAGATTTTGGTAGTAAATTGGCTGATAGTAGGTCCAGACACCAAATACGACTGCATTACAACTGATGGCTCACCACTGACCTTAGGAAGCAACATTAGACCTCGTTCCAATAGCTTCCAGATGAGAAATCAGTTTAAAATTTTTCCATGCAACCCAACAGCTTCTCTGTTTCTCCCAAACCTGCAGGTCCTGAAAAACTCCAGGGCCACGGGAGCTGCAAGCCACCTCAGTTTGGCAGCACCACTCTCAGCATTTTGCATTCATCCAGCTGACAAAGCAACAACAAAACTTCATCCCAGAAAAAGGCTGCACAGTTTAATGAGTTTACATTTTCCATATAAACCAATCAGCCCTACGTATAACATCTCCTCAGTGATGGTCCCGCTGAAGGAGTTTACGAACAGAACAGTGTGCTTATTCAACAATGGCAATGAGTAGTATTTAGGACAGCCACTTATTAAAAACCAAATTATTATCCTACTCAAGCTACTTATCGCACCAACATCAGTGTAAAGAGCAGCTGAGTGCGCAATGAGCAATGCCTGAATGGAAAAACTCCTCTTTTAGTATGAATTTTCAGTTAACACAGCCATTTTCTTTCAAAATTAAGAGTTTTCAGCATCAACCTTCATTTTATACAAACAAAGCACATTCCTGCATGTGGCTTAAGAGCACTGTTTTTTTTCCACTCTGAGTCATTGCTTAGGCACACCCTGGAAGGAGTAGGATACAATGAAAAAAGGAAAGAGAAAAAAAAAAAGAGAAAAAAAGAGTCCTGTGGCAACGACACAATGCTAACTGTCCCCAAATCAGCAGGGTTGGCCACCCAGACAACATGGAAAATGCACACCAGAGCCAGCAGCTGCCTGGCCTTTGCTGTGCAGGTTATGAAAATGAGGGGCATTTCCTGACAGGGCCCTATTTCAGATCTGTTGAGAGTGATTGAGGCTCTGAGTTTCTCTCTTATCAAAAGTAGATTTCCTTTTCCCAGGTTGGACACTTTGGACTGTTTAGAGTCTTTGCTCAGGAAGTGTTAAAGCTCACTTTTGAGCTGCATTTGGTTTGAGAGTTTCCAAAGTACTTCTAACTATAAAGGGATTTAAAAAAATTATATAGAAAACTTGGATACGATATGAAGACAGAAAGATGATTTACAAATAAAGACCAAATTTTTAATCCATGACACCTTGCCCAGGGGCAGGAGAACCATGGCCTGTGAAAGCCTTCAGCTTACTTCCTCCCACGAGGAGCTCAAAATTCTGTCTTGCTAGACAGAAATCCTTCTTTTATGGCAGTCTTGATGTTGGTATATGAAAAGCTTGTTGTTTCCCATGTTCCCTGTGTTTTTTCTATACATGTCTTAGGACCATTCATCTATTTGCCTTTATCAGGCTCCTGAAAACTTCCTAATTTAAAAAGCAATGAGGTGTGCAGCTGGGATAAACCAGCCTGCGACCACTGCCTGACACAAAGACCTTTCAGGCTAACCTTCATCTCCTCCTTCATGCTCTGTTACTGTTTATTACAATTTATTTATGCTCCTTCAGTTCGTTCACTTCTAACTCTACATAAACCACTGCACAATAGCCCAAATCTCTTTTGTGTTTCCCTTGTCCTTTAGCTGGGAAAACCTATCTGAAGGGAGGGAGGAAAGCAATCCTTCCCGGCCATCCCCAAAAAGTAGCTCTGGTTTGGTAATGCAGCCTTCAGACCACTAGAGGCCTCAATAAAACCAGCAAACTTCAGCCTGAGTGACTAACAAAAGTGAAACATGCCTGCATTTCCCCCCAAATTGACATATACCGGAAAATACAAGGCTAAGGATGACCGTGCTGGAGCAGGCTGGGCGGATGTAGATGTAAACGCCAGCTGAGCCGCGGTCGTGGGAGCTGATGCCACCATGCCTGGCTGGCTAAGGCAGGCTCAGTGCATCTTCAAGCATCACAAACCTGTTACGAGGGAAGTAATTTTTATACAGTAAGTTATTGTCTAGACCTCATAGTTTCTTCACAGTGGTTATTTACTACTTGTCACATCTTCATCTGCGCTGTTTTGTATCAAGCCTGCAATTTTTGATGAGCCCTAATAGCAAAGAAGCATCAGATCATTTTCTTCAAAATAAATGCAAATTGCCTCATAGCAAAAAGTGTGGAGCTAAACACGTTCCAACTCGAAATTAAGTCAGAGCTTCAGCCGATCTACAAGGCTCAGATTATCACAAACGAACAATCTGATTACATAAACAATGTTTTTCCATACGCCGTTTTCATGTGCAGCAGCATGGGGCCAGTGGGGGACACCCTTGAGGTTTGCCCACAACTGTCAGCCCATTTAATCCTTTAATGAACTTAAACTGGAGCAACAGACAAATGGACTGCAAACGTTCAAAACATGTAGTAGTACTCCTCAGAGGAAACAAAAGATCCATTGTACAGCTCCAGTAAGTTCATCCAGGGCTCTGGTAGAGTCTCTCTTTTCCTCCCCTTTGAACAGAAGCTGAATAGAAACAGGAATGAGAATTGGCTTCACCATCACCCCTTTGCCAGACTCGCCTCTGTGAATACAGAGGCTGGATGAGAAGTTACTCACTGACAACAACTTCGGCTCTCTCTCACTTACCAGTCAATAGACGTGGCCATATATTAAAGGTCATCTTCGTGGCCACCTGTGAGGACCAGCAATGGTGGAAGAAGGCTGGGTGATGCAGCATCACAGCCAGAGATCAATGTGGCACTGCAGCCCAGCCAGCTGCAAACTTTTTGCTCTGGAAAAATAATATCCAGGGCTTCTTTCTCTTTCCAAAATATGTGAAGGAGTTTGGCTTAACTCTGATACAAATCAAATATCTATTAGTTTGCTTCAAACTCTTATACTTAAGAGGAAGATAAATTTATGCTGCTTATTATGAGTCTTGAGACAACCATGTTAATCCCCAAAACAAATTGCATATTGTATCATTTTGCATGGTCTTGCAGATCGCTTGAAAGAGAAACAGAGGGAACTTCTAAAACAACAAGTAAATTTGTTTACACCATTCTGCTCATTGCTGGCTTGAAGCAGCAGTACCATCTATACAGCTTCCCTTAGCCTTTGCTACTTGCATACAATCATGTGTTTTCTGTTACCTGTACCATCAAAACACAAAAACACCCGTCTTTCTCCTGCATTGTCTAAACAGACACATTTGAAGTTTGTATTAAAAGTTCTTGAAAATAACTTTTTAAGAAAAGAACGCAAGTGAACGAAAGACAAACATTCCTTAAATTTACCTTTTTTTTTTTTCCCCAACAGATTGCATTACCAATAAATTTATATGCACCACCAGCAAGTTTAATGATGAAGCACAGCAATTTAAATCAGAAATTCACCTTCCACTTTATGGTGGCTTTCACAAATTTAAAAAAACACAAGACTTTAAGAAGAAAACTTCCACACAAGATGTGTTTTTGAAGGCAGACACACGTTTTATACAGCCAGCCTTCTGTTTAACAGACTGATTTGGCAAAAAAATGTAAAGCAAAGCACTCTGAAGATTTATGAGATAATGGTGCACTACTAAGAATAATTTCATCTCAATGACATTTGACAGTGCTACCCCTAATGAAAAAACAGAAAGGGGCAGCAACAAGTGCAGTACCATTCTCTAAACATTCTGGCAGAATCAGCCTTTGGATGGGTCTGTAGCATAAATTATTCTCCTGACTGTGACTGAAAGAAAGCAAGATATTAAGGAGAACTAACATCAGTCAGGTGCCGCCAATAGTGCAGAAGAGATTTGTAGGGGAAGGCTCCATCGGTGTCTATTCCTCTGATCTATCTATATTATTACCCTAGTTAGGCAAATTCCTTTTCAAAAAGCATATTTGGGACAGTTAGAAATTCAACTTCCAGACATGCTCCAGCATTTTAAACAAGTCTCTCTTAGTACTTATACACAAAATGGCTTAATGAATGAGGAGTAGCAGGTACTAGAATTGGTCATGACAACTCATCTTCCAAGATGAGCTTGATTTTTGTTGCATCCTCAGCAAGCGCAGAATAGTTCCTTCAACTAATAGTTCTCTGACTAAATCTGAAACTCAGAAGAACAGATCTGATTTTATTTCACAGGCAATGTCTTTGAAACATTAGATGCCTTTTCTTTTGTTCCAATGTCCTTAACATACCTCAAACACAGAAACTGAAAAATATCACAACTTCCTCTCCAGTAGCTTTCTAACCTTGAGACCTTCTGACCTTCTAAACTGCAGAAACAATTTTCCTTCTCCATCACAAAATACCTTGGAAGCCTAGAAAGGACAGTAACTTTATGATTTATATACGTACATATCTATATGGATTTATATAAATATAAAGATAAAACAATGCCTACAATAAACAGTGGCAAAGCATTACCAACCAAAAGAATAACAAATAGTAAAACATTTCTATCCCAGAGATAATTTTTTTGGGCCTGACATTTAGCATTCAACTTGCTATGCTTCACAACAGCTGAAGTACAACATCTCTATCATTTTCAGGGAGGAAGCAAGGACACATACACCCAGAACCAGGTAGAACACAATTACACTATTATTTATTTGCTTTAAAGGAAAAAAAAAAAGACAAAACATAGGAAAGGCCATGAAAAATAATGCACAAGGGTTGCATTAACACAGATCTTGGCCACAAATAGGATTTTGATTGGTCCTGTTAAAAATATTCTTCTACAGTTTCTCATCTATATGTTTGATGCTGACAATTTCCAAAGCTCTGAATAAAAATTCCATGCAAACATCTCCATAGGTTTGGAGCAGGAGCTACGGAGAGAGGTACAGGAGAAACTGTTCAGATCACCATGATGTATTTCATCATGCACAAATGGGGCAAAGTTTCATCTTCCCAATCAAACACAGAAGCCACCTTAAATCAGCATTAAGATGGACTAAGTCCTGCACACCACCATTGTATTTTACATGCCCATTACAGACCTAAGTCATTTACCGTACTTTCCCAGGAAACTGCCACATTTCCCGTAGATTAGGGGGCATAACATACACATATGTAACCATCTAGCAACTGCTGCTCACTACCAATAAAGCCTTTAAAGCACCACTATAAAACAGGAGTTATGCAAAGCTTGAGTGCTCTACACCACACTGAACTTCTTAGGCCAGTGACACATCCTTATGGTTTATGGTATTAAAAAACATGGGAGAAGTTGATGTCGAGTCAGAAGTCAAAGCCTTGCATTAGATGAGATGAATAATTTCTTGACCTTTGTTACCACTGCATGGCTGTTCACCTGCATGAAATGTGCACGCAGGGACAGAGATAAGACTGAAGTGCAAGCACCTGCATTCCAGCTGCTAAAAACTCCTTTGCTTGTACCTTTTAATTGATGATGTTGTGCAGATTTCCATGCTGCCTTCCCTTAACTGCTCTTAGTGGCCTCATGCTCTCTCCCCACCTTCCAGTAAAGGTTAAACCAAGAGTGATTCACCAGCTGGATTCCTCCATGCCACTCCTGCCTCTAACAGAAAGTCAGAATGTCACAGAGTTATATAATGCTGACAGAAATGTGACTACCTGCAAACAGGTTTGAATAAAGAAGATAAAACTTTTATGATTACATACCAAAAAAAAAAAAAAAAAAAGGTAAAAAAGTAGTGCATCCTTCACAGGCTATTTTGGCCTCATAACTCCCAGGAGATGCAGCTTTATTACTGTTTACAGCAATCACATTACAGCAGATTAACTGGGGAAAACTAACTAACAACAACAAAAAAAAGGCTCTTTGACCAATTTGTGCTATTGGCAAGAGGTGCCAGCAGGGTTTGATCATCCTTTGCCCACATGACAGAACCCCCACCCTGTGTTTCAGCATCAGCGAGGAGGCAACTTGCAAACAATAACCGCTAAGAGTTTAAGCGGGATGAAAGACTCAGCTAGGACTGACACATACGAACCAGACCAAAGGCAAAGCACGCCAAGTCGAACTAAAGACTACTGTTCGCTGCACCGAGGCTGCCTGGTGCAAAGCTAAAAAGCTTCTCATTTGACCAAGAAACACATTAGATTGAATTCACCAGTGCAGACAAGACTTACGTTTAGAAGGATGCCTGATCCATCACCTGACCTGAGCTATGAAAAGGGAAATATACCCGCAAACCTTTTTTTTCCTCTCAAGGGAGAAATGCCATGTATCGGGACACAAGTCTCCAGATGCCACAAGGCATGAAGGCAGATGTCCAGACAATCCCTAAGGGCTGAACGTCTTTACAAAGACATTTTCTCTTTTTCTTCTTTAGTGATATATCCTGTTTGTATGACTCACAGCCTTTTAAGATCCACTGTTACAATGCTTTCTCCCCTGCACCGTTCAGCAAGTTTTATGTCTATGCTGCTTCTAAGTGCATGTTGTGAAGGGTGTGTTCACAGCCTGCTTTAAATCCTGCCATTACAATTTAGAACACAGTCCCTGAACTGTCTCTGAAAGACACTTAGCAATGCACATTCCTTACAAGTAAGCCAAACAAACAGAAAAGTCTTTCGATAACTGAGGGGTTTCCTTGTTTTAGAACAGAGGTAAGCCCAGCAAGCCTGTGCTCCTGCGTTGTTGCCCAGGGGAGTCAGGCATAGGTTGGTGAAAAAATAAGCTCTAATCATATCATATATATGATATTGTCTTATCAGACATTTCTCAAGATCCTGGTTAAACAAACAAAAACAAAAAGCAACCACAACCACAAAAACCAATGTCTTAGCAGGTGCTGTCATGAAAATCATGTGTAGGTTTACATAAAACTGGTAAGATTAAACTATCCTATGAGAAGTAAGCAGGTAGCTTTTAATATGTGTCAAAGAAAAAAAATAAAATATAAACCCTTCAACCTACCTAGCCTTATTTAAATTTACTGAGAAATGTATCACCATTA